TCTCTCTCTCGATCTCCCGATCTCTTTTTATTTGTGATATTTTGGTATTTCTTTCCTCTCATCTGGTGCACGTCTTCTTCCTTTTTCCCTTCTGTTGTCGTTCTGTCGTTCTCCGCCTCTACCTCAGAGTCCCCTGGCATTCGTGCGTTGCAATTTTCTTTTTGTTGTTCTATTTTCCACACCATTGTGTATCTCACATTACTATTCATATCCTCTCTCTCATACTCGGTTTCTTTTTACCTTGAGTAGGATGGCAGGAAAATGGCGGCTTTACTTCCGGTAGGGTTTTATTTTTAGACCGGATCTTTCTCAGCTGTACTGTGCAGAGAGCGAAAGAGTTTTCCTGCCCTCCTGACATCCCGTAACAAAAAATACACATTCTCCAACATGTATACAAACCTCTTTTCTCTTTATGTGTGTGTGTGTGTGTGTGTGTTTCTCTGGCCTTTGGGAGTCTGTGTAGAGTGAGATGTAACTGGAAGGTTGCCATGCTCCACACATAAATCCAATTCCACATTTTTTTCTTCTTTCGGTCTGACATGATGCCCCAGGCTGCCCACGCTACACACTCCAGCACCACCACAGAACCATGTGTGTGTGTGTGGTACACTCAAGCCCTTGTTTTAGACAGACCTTACATGCCCCCCCAATCCTTCATGCACACACATCCACACACACCTCAAGGCGAAGGAAGACTAGACAAGAATTGATCCGCACTCCCAAACAGAACTGATTGCAAGGAGACGTGGGACTAATATGTGCATATCTCTGTCTGTCTCTCTTTTAATCCATCAATCTTCATTTTTTATTCTGTACACCCAACGGGTCACTTCTTGTGTGAAGACAGATGTCTTATGTACAGCCACACACACACATGACATGCACACTGGTGCATGCATTTTCTTTAAAGCATAAATCAATACTCAAATAAAGGATTCCACTTCTTTTAAGTAATAGATGTCGAAACCATGCCCAAGCGGTCAACTGTGCAACTGTGGTGCTCATATGTGGGTTTGACTATAGCTTGCAACATTTCCCTAAAAAATAGATGTAGAGATATGGAGGGATTTTACCATCACGTCATTAAAAACCTTGATGACACCTAACCTAAATTGAAGGTGATTTTTTCAGAAAATATTTTTTGGATGTTGATCTGAAATTGAACATTTTCAGCAAATAATGACTATTCCCCATCTGACCGCTATTTCGCAAGGTGGCGATATCGTACAATACATAAAAAAAGCCCTCAGTGGGACAGATAGTACAAAAACGTACAAAAGAGGTGCGAATTCCAGCCCGTTCTCATCCTTTAGCGTCATATGTGACGCTGTATGACAAAACGGCGAAATACTACGCACATGGCACTCTTTATCGTTAATATAACACGCGAACCCAAGACTTCATAAATCCTTTAGCGTAATATGAGACTACCCTACCCTACCCCACACCTAAACCTACCCATCACAGTGTAACGGAGGCCAGCTAGTACTTGCTGTGCGAGTAAACCTCACTCCCCTGATCTCAATAGGCGCTCTAGCAACAGACGCTGGAGGCTGCAGTCTTTAGCCTCCTTGTTGGAGTGCCTGACTCTCATGCCGGAGACCCGGGTTCGAGGCCCGCTCGGAGCGGGTCGAGTGGGACCCGGGTGTAGGGGTTACAACAGCGCGTGTTATATTAATGAAAACGCGTGCCATGTGCGTAGTATTTGGCCTTTTTGTCATATAGAGTCACTTATGACGCTAAAGGATGAGAATGCGTTGGCGAATTCATATGAATATGCAACGCATTCTCACCCCAAGGCGTCACCTTTGACCATGCTTCAATATTTGACGTTTTAGGCGGCCTTTAGCGTCACTTACATGACGCGATCCTACGGCGTCATCTAACTGACGCTAAAGGAAAGCGTCAGTTAGAGGACTCGGTTAGGTTTAGGTGTGGGGTGGGGGTAGGGTACACGCGATCCTAGGGCGTCATCTAACTGACGCTAAAGGAAAGCGTCAGTTAGAGGACTCGGTTAGGTTTAGGTGTGGGGTGGGGGTAGGGTACACGCGATCCTAGGGCGTCATCTAACTGACGCTAAAGGGCGCCTAAAGCGTCAGATATTGAAGCATGTCCAAATGCTTCCCAAGGCGTCAGTTAAGTGACACCTTGGGGGTGAGAATGGGCTGGAATATGCTGCCAGTTTGCCTAAATGTAAAATAGTTATGATAGTTGCCATGAAACGGTATTGACTGATCATCACACAAATCTACAGTTAAAGTTTGTGAAGTGAAATATAGCACATCATATGGAAAACCTGTTTCTTTATTTGATTTTCCATTTTTTGTACAGAAAAGAGCAGTTTGTATAGAATAGAACAGTATAGCCTGACTTCGTCATAATCATATTCTGGTAAGAATATGTGTCTGAGACCCTCCGTAGGGCTTTGATTATGAGGCGTGTCTTAACCAAACTCAATTGGATAGTCGGACAGACCTACAACCAATCAGAGCAACGCAGTAAGTCAAATACTTTGCATAGCATGGTTGTCAACAACAGAACTTACTTATTTTAGAAGTAAAATAACGAGTGTTGCTTCTTTCACTTGGTCCTTCATGAGTGCGACCAATGGAGAAACCACAACGACCACATGCTTTTCATTACGTCCCATCTTCTTAACTTAGCGAACGTCAGTTACACTTTTGTCGAATATCTTTTCCGATCGACAAATGCCTTGATTGCAGTTTTCTGTTTGTCTATTAAACTTAATGCGCTGTCGATTAATTTTAAAAACAGACGTGACAGCGGAATCTATACATCTCAATTCTCCAGCTGCAGTCATCTCTGAGGGAAACCAGTTAGCGCTCTTTGATAACGTGATGGTTACGTCCCTGCAGATCATCTGTCCATCGTCGTATAAAGCCCGCCCTGGCAATCTGATTGGCCCGATCATTTTTTGCCTGATCATAATTGCTCCTCAATGGATCGAGTCCAGACCGAACTTCCCGACCAAAAAATGTTGTGGGCGGAGTTCTGGCTGGCATCCAGGCTAAGAACAGGGTGAATTTTCCTCAAAATATCTCCTTTAGTGTTCTTCAGAAGAAACCGGTTTGGACAACATGAGTAAATGATCGCAGTATTGACGTTTTTGGGTGAAATAACTGTTTAATATTTTACTTAGTTTGTGCAAATACAGCTAAGGGGTAAAAAAAAATGAAGGCAGAGTGAAAAGAAAAATTGCGAGAAAGAGAGACCTTGTATCCCTGGTTGCTGATATTTAATTTACCAGTCTTCACAATGAGAAAGATCCAAGTGACTGCGATTTAAACCAAAATTACTCACCGACTACCTCTCTTTCTCTCGCTCTCTCTCCCTCCCTGGTCTCTCGCTCTGGGTGAAATGTTGTGACAGCGTTGCGCTGATGTTGTAGGGGGTTAAAGTCACCAAGTGCATATTATCCTGTAAGGCTTAATATGCAGGTTGGAGCGCGAGGGCCGACTCTTAAATTACAGTTTGCTGGGCCTAGCACTCAGCGTGACAACAATACCTACACAGACACTGTGTTGCGTCTATACACACGTATGCTCGTGCTTAGCTGTCACAAATTTTCATTCAGCCATACGTTTTTGTGACGCAAATTATCGCGCATCCACACACAATTTTGTGCACATATACTTTATTTTATTGCCTTATCACACGGCCATGACATTCACACAGACGCGCGCTGAATTTATCTTTGTTTCCAGCCATTGTCTTTGTTTGTCTGTAGCTACTATCTGCATGTGTGTGTGTGTGAGCTGCTTGTTATAGTGATGGAGTGTGTGTGTGGGCTGCCGAGTCAAGCCTGTCCTCTCCGCTTTCATAAATCTGCGTTGGATGAAGCTCTCGAGCCATAAAACGCATCGATCGCCATCCTTCACACACATATGCTCTTCCCACTGGGTAATCCTGCTTTCTGTAGGAACGTTGTGTCTTGTTGAGTGAGTTTTGAATGCACAAGTTTGCCCTAATATAAATGGATAAACAAGATAGTCAACTAATGATACCTTAGCATAAATATACAGGCACAGTGTGTTTATGACTCCAGATGTTGAGGTTTAGTCTTAAAGTTTGTGTCAGACTTGTGTTTTGTGAGTTTTACATTTCCAGTCCAGTTAGTTTTCTTATAATGGAGCGGTTGGCCTAATCCACATGCCTTGACTGCCTGGAGAAAGTAGGACACACACGGGGACAGACTGACTGTATTCACACACTGACATACTTTATTGTTATTGTGACCAGTGATGTGCAGTTTAGCAGAACACAGACAAACTGTTTTTTTTTTTTTTTTTTTGTACTCCACACACACATTTAATTGCTTGTAGGTGGCTCTTTCATATCTCAGGGGACTTCTTAGTTATTTTTTTAATTATTACCTTAGATTTTTAGATGTTTTGAGGATGTTGCTCCCTGTGAGAAACAATATAGATAACATATCTCTCGTACAAATTCTGCCTAACTATGAAATCGCACACAATGACAAAACGCATGTCATCAAACATCTTATTTTTAGTACTTTTTGTGTCAGAAATATTCACAGCTAAAGTCTACTGAATTGAATAAGAGGGACCGAAAAGGAAGGAGAAACATTTATCAACCACTTCTGTCTTCTGGTTGTAAAATATGGCCTTCATGGATGTATAGATAAATCAGAGCGGAGTCAGGCCTCACTGATGTGAAATGAACGTGACAGTAATATACTGTTACAATAACATACACATCAAATATTTGAATCTTAGTCTGTAATGAATTACTTGTATCCTTCAAAAATTATTTCATGTATGCTTGTTAGCTTTTGCATGTGGTAACTGGAGACATATTTATCTCACTGAGCAAGTTTTCGTACTGAATTGAATTGAATTCCTGTGGTTGAAGATTTGCATTAAAGTTGGTGCTGAATTGACTTTTTGAGAATCGTAATCTGTATTTTTTATTCATTTGTGGGTCAGTGAAATTCATGTGCACCTCTTCTCTGTCTTCAGGTAACAGGTTTTTCCTGACATCATATGGGGCCCTCTACATATCTGACGTTCAGAAAGAGGACGCCCTCTCTACATACCGCTGCATTACCAAGCACAAATACAGCGGAGAAACCAGGCAGAGCAATGGGGCTCGTCTCTCTGTGCTGGGTGAGTGTGAGCATTTGTGTGGGTGTGTTGGGCAATTGACGTTGTCAATCACAGTCTGATAACCATATTTTCGTAAATGGATTGTCAGTCTTAAATGTGAAGTAACATTAAAATTCCAAGGGATTATATTCTACATTTTTAATTGTATTTTTTTTCCCTCAAGGTTTGATTTAAGTTCATAAGTTGTTGTAATTTGTTTAAACATGAGCATTTTCCATCTTTCCGTAGACCATTAGAATTAATCAGGCAGTTTTGCTACTGTACCCTTAAGATGTATGTATGTACTGTAAATGACATGATTTGTTGTAATTAGATATTATTGCTTTCTCTCGTTCCTTAGACCCCACTGAATCCCCGCCTTCTCTGATGGACAGTTTCCAGTCAGGAGAGGTACAAGTGGGGCGCAGCATAGAGTTGCCCTGCATCGCCTCCGGGTACCCCAACCCTACCATCCGCTGGCTGAAGGATGGGAGGCCGCTTCCTGCTGACTCCCGCTGGACGCGGCGACTGACCGGCCTCACAATCAGCGATCTCCGCCTGGAAGACTCCGGAAACTACATCTGTGAAGTCACCAACAGCTTCGGCTCCAAAGAGGTCACGGGACACCTAAATGTCATCGGTAAGGAAATAAAATAGGAAACAAAGGGAAAGAGAGGAGTGACAGAAATGACTAGTGGAAGGGCAGGAGTAAATTACATGAAACATCACCATTATACTTTGGGTGAGGGAAAAATGCAAGCTTTTCAAACGTTACAAGCTATCTTCACCTTTTAATTTTTAGATATGTTCTTGGATCAGCATCCTTGTTGGTCCCGGAACCACATTCCTGAACTTGGATTTTATGGTTGGGCATTGGGATAGTGCTGTGGATGGAGCTTCAACACTATTCTTTATGAGCCTGGGCTTAGTGATTATGTTCGTTTGACGAGAGTGTTCTTTTAACATGTATACTTGACAAAATCTTATCATCCTTTTTCACTTATTATAGTTTCATCAAATAGGACATGCTGCTGAATCAACTTGTTGGTCCTTGAACAACATTCCTATTAAACAGTTATAGAGCTGTGGTTAGGCTTAATAAGAGTAGGATTAGAACTATGTTTGGTTAACTGGAATGTTGTTCCAAAACTAGTAACAGATGATATGAACGTGCAACTTCAAAGTAATAGACACCTACTCTATTCCCCAAAGGAAAAACCAAAACCCTGTAGCAGGTGTCCTCATCCTTGTTTCTGGAGATCAACCTTCCTACAGAAAGATTAGTTCTGCCCTTGATTTCAATTAACCTACCTGTGATTTTCAACTGAATACAGAGAACTTGATTTGCTGGCTTAGGTGGGTTGGAGTTGGAACTCCAGGAACAGGGATGAGGACTCTTGCCCCTGAGTTTTGTATCCACCAATTGAATTGGAAGGGTTAACCAAATAATGAAAAAAACAGATCCTGTGGATCTGGGTCACCTGTTGGATGTCAGTTTATGGAGTGATTTGTTCGTCCATCTCTTACAAAGTCCTGGAATATCCACAACCTTTCATTCAAAGGAGAGGGTCCAGGTCAAGTAGGTTCAACACCATGCCGTCGAACCAATCGAATGCCCCTTATCTCCTGTGCAACTGTGTGATCGGGAGAAAGAGATATCAAACATACACTCTAAAAAATGCTCCAATTTTGGGTAAAATATGGTCAAACCCAGCCATTGGGTTACATTTTGAAATGACATCTTAACCCAATGGCTGGCTTTGTCCGTATTTTACCCAAAATTGGGTTAAAACAACCCAACATTTATTAGTGTACTATACCAGAGAGTGAGTAAGCAAGAAGCACATTTGTGTTCAAGTGATTTTGGCACAATGATAGGCCTCTGCCAACTTCTCGGTGACTTTCAGAGAAAGCAATATGAGAGGACAGGAAGACTGTTGTGGCCTCTCTAGTCTGACCCCTGTTCTACCCAAAACCCACTTAACCCAGTATGTGTTTTCGAGCAGACATGGGGATGGGATCTTGGACCAGTGGGATGGTATTAGCTGGGGTCTTATTGTGAAAGGAGGAGGAGAATAAAAGAATGGGAGGTGGGGTGGACATTTGGACTTTTAGCCGGTGGGCACATCACACAGTGTGCTCACACAGATTCTGACAGGACAGGAGGAGAGGAGGGCACACACAAATACATACAAACACACACACACACACCATCATGCACAAAGGCCTCCAGCACATAACACCAGCTGCCTTATTGCTCACTGACATTTTATCTCACTCTATCTATCTATCATCTATCTATCTATCTATCTATCTATCTATCTATCCATCAATCTATCCATCAATCTATCCATCAATCCATCCATCTATCCATCCATCCACCCATCCATCCATCCATCCATCCATTCATCCATTCACCCCACCCACCCACCCATCCATCCATCCATCCACCCATCCATCCATCCATCCATCCATCCATCCACAGTATCCACTGTATCTGTCTGTCTTTCACAAAAAATAGGGCTGATAAGACACAACATAATTTTAAATTTTGCTCTAGAGGAATATTTATTTCTTCAAAACTTTACCGTCAGACTCAAACTCTTCTCTCTTTCTCTTTCTCCACAGAGCCTCTGAGAGTCACTTTATCCCCCAAGAACCTGAAAACAGGCATCAGCAGCACAGTTATTCTTTCATGTGCTGTTCAGGGCTCGCCCCACTTCACCGTCTCCTGGTTCCGCAACACAGAACCCATCGTGCCCGACCAGCACTTCTCCATCCAGGGTGCCCACAACGAGACACTCTTCATCACGGCAGCCCAGAAAAGACACTCAGGGGCATATCAGTGCTTTGCCACCCGCAAGGGTCAGACCGCACAGGACTTCTCCATCATACTGCTTGAGGGTGAGTGGATAATGAGATAGCGCTGAAGGTTGTGGTTCGGATTCTATCTCTCCAGCGGTTTTTGCATCAAAGTTCCAAAATTAGATTACTATTATTTTTAAGCAAGTTACTCAGTGTCCTACACATGCATGACACGACAAGTTTCCAGTAACAGGTAACTTTTGCTGTCCATAATGAACATGAAGTACTGCACAACGCAAATGTCTATCAGACGTCTACAGAAAATCTGGATGAAGTAAACTTGCATTTTACGGTTTTACAATTTAAATTTATTCAATGCATTTAAATTTGGTTCAGACAAAATAATCAAAAATGATTTCACCAAATTGACTTGCTTTTTTCAGTGTCATATCTGGTTAGGACACAGTTTCATTTTGCGATTTTTGAATCGCTCTTGAAAAATGTACCTGTTCGTATGAATTTTTTTTTTAGCGGTGTGCTTTTCAACGATGATGAAGTCTTCCATCTGTGTTGCTCTCTCTTTTTTCTGTCAGACGGCACCCCACGGATCGTCTCGTCTTTCAGTGAGCGCGTGGTAGCCCCTGGCGAGCCCTTCTCCCTCATGTGTGCGGCCAAAGGCGCCCCTCCCCCCACCATCACCTGGACGCTGGACGATGAGCCGGTAGCGCGGGACTCGGCGCACCGGGCCAGCCAGTACACGCTCTCCGACGGCTCCACTGTCTCGCACGTGAATGTCACCAACCCCCAGATCCGCGATGGGGGCGTGTACCGCTGCGCCGCACGCAACTCGGCCGGTAGCGCCGAGTACCAAGCGCGCATAAACGTAAGAGGTGCCTGTCTACTTTTCAATCTCAGACGTTTAGGGTAATAACCCGCCACCTCCCCGACCCCTGACCCCTGAACTCCTTCACCTCATCTCAAGTCCAGATGTCATCGCTTCTGATCAACTCAAATCTCACTGTGTGTTTGTGTGTGTGTGTGTGTGTGGGGGGGGGGGGTGTATGTGTGTGGGTGGAGCGTCTTATGTTGTTTGTTCATTGCAGAACTGTCACCTGTGCATTTTCTCATCTTGAACAGCATTCTTTCTACTGTCAGATCATCTGTTTGTGTTTTCTGTATCTTTCCACTTCTCCTGTTCGTCTCTCCATCTGCTGAGTCTTTGTTCCTCTCTTTCACACATACACTGTGTCTCTGTCTCAATGTCGCCGGCTGGCTGGCACACGTGTGGTGTCCTGGCTGTTCTGGGACAGAGTGGAGATCTGGCAACAGGGAGACGCCATCACGCCAAAGAGAAAAGAGACACGTCAGCTAAGAAACCAGACTGAGAGGAGAAAAGATGAGTTGACATGGTAGAGAAGGGTAGAAGAGAGGGAAAATACTTTGATTAGAAAAGAAAAGAAGAGACAAAAACTTAAAGGAGAAATGAAGAGGATAGGTGAAAAGTGATGCAAAGACAAGATGAGAGGCGAGAAACAACTCAGAGAAGGGGAGGGAAAGGTGAAAAGTTTCAAGGTATTAAAGAAGGAGAAGTGGAGATAATAGAAGATTAGCTGATTTTTTTTTTTTTTTTTTTAGATTATATGAAGAGTTTGGTTCCAAAACGCGATAAAGGCCATTTAAAAAAAAAAAAATGAGTTACTGCAAAAATCTGACTTTTCAATACCGACCAGATACAAAACAATGTTCAATTTTACGTAAAATGGGATATCCGCCGTGTTATTATGTAATGTTTTCTCCCTTTCTTTCCAAACCGCGACAAACGCCAGTCTCCCTTTTCTGCAAAATGCCACATATCCGCTAAACCAATCACAACGCACCATTCCACGCAATGTAAACAGTAACGGCAGCGCTTTAACTAACCCGGCTTCCTAGGTTTTCTCTATTTTGTCCTTTCGATCAACAAACAAACAAAAAAATGAATAATTTTGACAGCATTGGTGAACCTGCGGAGGGTAAGGCATCCTGCATGGGTAAACGTGACATCGAAATCGAATCATTTACGTGAGGAAGAAGATGGACTCGGGAGGAGGAAATGCCGGCTGTTGCATGTTCTCACACGACAGCATCAAACTTCTGTCACGCTGACACACTGACCCCAGAGGATCTTTTGGAAAACTTTCAGTTGTTTTATTCAAAGTCAACGAAAACCGAGCAGGACCAAGCCAGTTTACAGCTGATCGCCGTCAAAAAAGTTCAGCGGCGACGTCCCAAGGTTGACAACAGCGATATGCATAACGTTAGATCATGCTTAATAAATCATAATTCATGATGATTTGCTCGTCTTAGTTAATGTTTTAATTAAGGTTTTGTTCATCCATGAAGTCATGAGTGAAAAACGTTGAACTTTTAAAGAAAACGTTGTTAGTTCCTGATGATATTGATATGAATTAATGCATAATTTATTTATCCATGAATTCATGATAATTCATGACATGAACCCTTAAAGTGTTACCGAATATTGTTATATTAAAGCAATGGATTTATAGTATGCACAAGAAATTCAATGTGTATAAAATTTTATTTTGATTAATTGCATTTTGAAAAAAAAAAATTATTGGATTTATTGCATTTTGGGGGAAAAACGATCTGTTTTTATAATAAATCTTTGGAAATCAAAACCTGGATTTCATTTTTTATTATTATTATAGACCTACAAATGCTATGTGAAAATTTGATACCGAAAATAGTGGTTTTCATCTTCCCATTTTCTTGCTAAAGAAAACACAGTTTTACTCAAATTCATCAAAATGGATTTATAGCGTTTTGGAACCAAACTCTTCATATCATAACAAAAGTCTAGTGTGGAAAAAAAATTAAGTACACTGTAAAAAAAAATCTTTTTTTTTCTTTTGTCAAATCAACTTAATTTATTTAGTTCAGATAACATATAATTTTGAGTTTCTGATGATTAAATCATTCTCCTTCATTGTATAAACTCACTTTTTCCATTTCAATGAACTTTTAAGGCAACCAGGTTATTTACTTGTTTAAGTTAAACCAACAGTAATTTTTCCATTTCAATGAACTTAAAATTTTAAGGCGACCAGATTACTTACTTGTTTAAGTTAAACCAACAGTAATTTTTACAGTGTAGGAATGGAAAACAGAAGTAGTGACAGATCTTTTTTTCCAAAACGTGATGTTTTGGGATTTCAATGGCCATAGTCAGGGTAATGCCACACTTGATTTTTGACAAATACCAAAAAAGGCTGTCAGGATAGGATACAGTGCGTTCAGTGGATTGTGTTGTTGTTTAACAATAATCGGAGAAATGTCTTTCCAAACAAAACAAAAAACTGTCTGTAGACAAATCTCCATAAAACATTTTTAAAAGTGAAAAATATAAATAAAGAAAATTACGTGATATGGGGCTTTTATACAGAGCGTGCCATCTCATACAGCCTGATTTTCATATATCATAAAATATATTTTACCTGATACTTAGGTAAAAAAGAAATATATGGCCTCAGCTCTTTTCATCCTCAGTTTTGTCAACCCAAAACCTTGTAAACAAAGACTTTGTGTCCAGGCAGACAAATAAAACCCAACACGTCATACTCTCGGAAGTTGCGTTAAGCCAGCCAATCAGATTAGGTTTTCCAGGCCGAGACCGTTTTGTGCATAATATGCATCAGACGGTTGGTGAACTGTCTGTGGGCGTGCCGTCTGAGTGAGATTGAGTCGTGTTGACAGGCCTGTTGAATTCACCCTCTCTTTCTTCTCTCTTTCTCTCTGAAATGTTCAGTTATGACATATCTGTCTGCTTTAAGGAGACATGCCAGAACAATCATTGCAGTGAGAATGAGACCCCGTGCCAGGAAGCCACAGTTAGTGCACACACACATTGAATGATCCCAATGCTCATGGACACACTCATATAGTCTTAAACACCACTGCCTGACTAATACACTCTGACCGCAGTGCGCTCATGAAAACGGACAGCATTGACTTTACCACATCTCACGCACACATATTTATTTCTGAGATGATACAGTAGTTTCGCAACACACTATTTAATAAACACAGACACCCCGCGAGCAATAAGGCCCGTTCTTCCTTAGTGCGAACATTACAATAGAGTTGCTCAGTTACTGTCTGGATCCTTATCTAAGTTCATACATTCACATATTATGTTTGAGAACAAAAGAAAAATAGAGAAATAGAAAGACAGCCAGAGAATAACTGTGAAGAAGAGAGAAGAGGGATACTGTGCGACAGTCTTCTTGAATAATACATCAGGGTTGACTTGTCAGAGCGGTGACTTCAAAGCACAACGCACGCTGAGCTGAGAGAAAGGGAGAGAGAGAGCAACAGAAGAAGAGAGATATACGAGGTTGAGGAGTGGGCTGTTAGAGAGGATGAGAATATTTGTGTGCATAAAATCTCCATATGCCCCATCGACGATTTAGAAGCCGGTCCGCCCTCCATTTTGAGGGAAACAAAATGTCCTTCGTGCCATGTGCTTATGGTTCCTCTTTTTTTAACACCTAAGCCACCTCGTCTGCTTTTTTCTTTCTGCGTCTTCAGGCATTGGCCATTCAAATCTTCACAGTGTTTCACCATCCATTCGTTCGTATACCCCTCCATCCTCGTGTGTGATCTGAGAGCAGAGTCCTGAAGAAAGTCAGCCATGTCTTTTTCCCAAAACAAAGAAAACAAAACAAACACAAATTGGTCATTATTAACCTTTTCAAATTCGGCGGTGACTGGTCTTGCTAGCTGTTAGCATATGCTAATCACATGAAAGGGCATTCGCACTGACAGTGTTTTGCAGCGACAGAGCAAGTTTAGCTATAGTTGGTGTTTTGAGGTTACTAGAGGAAAAATGTGTGACAAATTTGGGCAGTGAAGCTCACGTTATCCTTTTCATGAAACTGAAGTCGAGCAGGAACGCGTACTAGCAATCGGCCTGCTAAAACATTGCATAAACAAGCCTGAGGTGTTTTTTTTTGCTGATGAAAGCTCGCTGACCTGCTTGAAAACAATCTAACAGCTTAGGCTTATTTAAGCTGCTTTTTCTTTAGTTCAGTGCAGTGACATGGCAAACTCCAACGATTAAATCGATGTCAGTGTGAATGCCGCCTTTAAAAGTTCCAATAAAAACCACCAAAACAGTGTAAAATTACTTTTCGAATTCAGTAGCTATTAGCTCATCAAACTTAACTGATTTAGCTATTAGCACGCTAACATGGCACAGTTTCGCTAAAATGATTCTAAGGCCTCTGCTCTCGCAGTCCTCAATCCTGTAAATGTGTATTTTGGGAAGTTGTTATGAAATGTAATGTTGTTTTTTCACTCTGCCTACACAAACACATTAGGTTAGCATTTTATTGTTAAGATTACGCCGCACATACCCTTACCATGATTAAATCCATTAACTTGGCATATTAATGTAACTGCAGAAACACACCTCATTCAGTTGCTGAATTTATAAAGGCATGGTCCTTTGTGCCAAGCTCTGATCAATGATACAGTACAAGCCACATTGAAACTTTAGATCCACACAACTATTACACCACAATCTGTGCTGTGAAGACCAAGGGCATTCTAACCCCCCTCCTCCCCCTCCACCACTCGCTCTTCTGCTTTCTTCCTCCCACATTTCTCCCTTCTTTACCCAAAATGTCCATGCAATACCTGGTCTTCCATCTCCCACTCTTTCTCAAATCCTTTTCTTTTACCCTTCTCTATCCGCCACATTCTCCCTCTTTTTTTGTCTTCCTTCCTTCCTCTCTCTCTCTCTCTCTCTCTCTTTCTTGCTCTCGCTTTTCTCTCTCTTGCAGGTCCTCCAAGTATCCGGGCCATGCGGAACATCACGGCCGTGGCGGGTCGCAACACTTTTATTAACTGTCGTGTGATTGGTTATCCCTATTACTCCATCAAGTGGTATAAAGATATAGTGCCATTGCCAGACAACCATCGTCAGGTGGTGTACGAGAATGGCACTCTGAAGTTGAGCGATGTGCAGAAGGGCATGGATGAGGGGGCGTATCTGTGCAGTGTGCTCATCCAACCCCAGCTCTCCATCAGCCAGACTGTCTACGTCACAGTCAAAGGTTAGTGCTTACTACCAATTATTTTGGGTACGTTTGTGGCCCCTTAAAAGAAAAGTCAAAAGTGCAATCTACATTTGATTAAGGACCTACAGGTTTTTAAGTGAAAAAAAGTACGATTTACATCATGATTGTTTGGGAAAAACTATCTTTGTTTTGTTTTTTAGTGTGAACTCTTTCATAAGTCTGATATTTTTACAATGATCTGTGTAATCTTTTATTGTCAGAGACTAATAAAAATTTGTGATATTTTCAATATATAGGCTATAACTTTGTGTTGATTAGACATTTTGGATTTAGTATAAAATCCTTCACACCTATTTAGATATAATCATCAAATTCAAATATGTCTATTTTTTATTTATTTTTATTAATTCAGGTATCTTAACTTTGGATTTAATTCTTAATGGGGCACAAGCACTGTAAAGACTGAACAAATTAATTCTCATAACCATAACCACCATCTACCGTAGAGCATGTTTTTGACATAGAGCACATTTTTAAAAATATAAATACCATAAAAATTATAACACTTTGCAATAAACCTTTTAGCAGAACAGAGATGCCTCATTAGCAGATGCTTCTATGGGCCGATATACAGTAAGCCGTCCGCCATATTGGAACAGTCAAAGCCGGTTCGTGAACATACGAGAGCAAGTTGACTGTGTGTCTGCAACCATAAGTAGATGCATGTATGATTATCTATATCTGCAATAGAATTCAGCAGATTATGTTGCTATATCAACACAATACAAGACAAAGGCGTGTCAGCTTACAAGACATTAAAAATATCGTTGTAAATGTAAAAAATTAAAAGTACAATAGTAAAAACCTGTAATATCGAGTTTTATACATATAAAAACACAAACTAACATATTCTCTACTGTGAAAGATTATTATCCGATTTATTTGGGAATTTAAATGTCTGCGGTTTCACAACCAGAAGCTGCGTAATTTTATGGCATCATTGATTCTTACTGTGAGTGACGACACGCTGACAGTTCCAAGAAAGAGTATCTTATTAGAATATATAATTACTTTAGTAATTGTTATATTGGATATTATAGGGATAGTTGCTCCTTTTTTACATTTGAGCCCCAAGTATTGGATCAGAACTCAGTATTGGCAGATACTCGATATGCAATGACTCGGATTGGTTGATTGGGACATCCCTAATGTTTTGTATGTGCATCAAGTATGATGCATTAATGTCAATTAGTCAGATTGGATTTATTATAAGCTTCACACCAATTCTGAAACATCTATTTTCTTTTTCCAGCTATTCAAACTTTTTTAAAGACTTACACTTTGTTGAGACGCAAGATTTAGTTTAAACTAATGTGACTAGACAATGTGTCCAAGTCTGAAATATAGTACTGTATTTACGCATTTTCATTCTGTTTTATTTATTTCCATTTTGTTGGTGCTTTTTTATTGTTATATGCGTTTTGATTCATTTAGGTCAGCAAAGGACTTGGTGTAAATTGTTTTAGTGCGAAACTTTATTTTTAATGTAATTTAGTAACATTGAATTTGGTGTGAAGAGACTGCCCTGAGAGGATTTTTGGACTTGAGCCTAGTCAGCAGGGTATCTTGATTTTTTTGGTGGATTTCCAAAAAAAAAAAATAAATAAAAAATTACCAACCTCCGTTTGAGGTTTGGCATTTCTTGATAACATGCTTCTTCAATTAAATGATGGCCATTGTACAGTTCTTCATCTTTCACATTTCTTCAGAAAGTGTAGTGGTTTATTGTGGCGGAATGAGTTTATTTTGGAAAACGGAGTGTGTTTTGCATTAGAATGAGTGTATATTTAAGCTGTAGGCGGTTGGTGAAGGTTGGGATGGTCTTTCCCATCCGCTGGCACAAAGACCCTGAGAGAAAGCACACCACTAATAGCCTCTGATTAACAGGATTACAGGCCTTCTGCAGCATTACAACCATTCATCAATTACCCAGTGTACTTAGCATGTGTGTATGTGTGGGGGGTGTTATTTCTAGTATGTTAAATCGAAATAAAAGTGAGGTCGCTCTGATGTTGGGTTTTGAATCTTCACTTCACCATGTGTGTCCATACAAGGGGCCACAGCTCCTGGTACAAAGACAGCGAGGTCTAGTGTGTGCGTTTTTGCGTGAGTGTGTGTACCGGTACAACCGAACACTGACTCCAGTGTGAAGTCAGTATAGTGTGCTGCTTGTCTTGTCATGTCTCTGATTTAATTAGCTGAATTTTAACGAGCCCCAGATTAAATCCCCCAGATGTCTCCGATGGAGCCCCCCACCTCTGTTTCCATGGCAATGCCATTATTCCCCATGCCAATTGGGCTCTAATTAGAGCAGCTATTATGGGCTGGAGGGGTGGGATGTGTGTGAGCGTGTATGTGCGTGTGCATTTTTGGAGGGTGATGGGGTCAGTATTACATTGCAGACCATGAAGGGTTTGAATTTTAATAGTGAAGATCTCTCGCTTGTTCTCTTCCTCCATCAGTTCCTCCCCTCATCCAGCCCTTTGACTTCCCTCCCACCTCCATTGGTAAGCTGATGTACATAGCGTGCGTGGTGTCCTCCGGAGACATGCCAATCCGGATCACCTGGAGGAAGGATGGGCAGGAGATTGTGTCGGGAACATCAGGAGTCACCATCGAAACCAAGGAGTTCATGAGTTCCCTTCAAATCTCCAAAGTTTCTCTCGAGCACAACGGAAACTACACCTGTATTGCGAGCAACGACGCAGCAACTGTCAGTTCAGAGAGACAGCTCATTGTAACAGGTGAGCAAGAGTTAATGGGGAATGTAGTGGGATAAGATTTCACCAATTAGGGATTACTTGGTAAGTGTGCTGTTAAGGTTAGGACAATGTTTGTTTGACCAACATTTGTCTAAACCAATCTATTGGTATCTCCTTTCCTGAAATATGTGTTCTTCGTTGTAGTTCCCCCTGGTTTTCTGGTTCAGCCCAATAACCAGGATGGGATCTATGGCAAGTCAGAGGTTCTGAACTGCTCTGTGAAAGGGTACCCTCCTCCCAAAGTTGTCTGGAAGCATGCCAAAGGTAACATCTTTTGTCACTGTGTATAGTTTTCATGAGCTGATGATGAGCCACAATCAAAACTGTCTTCATCTTGAATCTTAAGGTATAGGGAACCCCCAGCAGTACCACCCAGTTCCACTGACGGGTCGCATCCAGATCCTGTCCAATGGTTCTCTGCTGATCCGCCACGTTCTAGAGGAAGACCGGGGATACTACCTGTGTCAGGCCAGCAACGGAGTGGGGTCCGACATCAGCAAGAGCATGATGCTCACCGTTAAAAGTGCGTCTGGCTACTCATCTACATCTTTACACATAATGACATCAGCTCTTTTCCAAAACCTAGTGAGCTACCAAAGGCATCTATCTTCTAAAGATGCATCTTAACCATCATGGAACCTCACAAGTTATGGTTTTGAAACACTATTCATTGGCTACAACTCTTTTAATGGTCGCTCATTCAAACAGCGATCCTCACATGAGGCAACCGAGGTGCCTAGTTTGAGTTTATTATCATAGAGTGCAACAGACCACCAGCTTTTTCAGTAGCTTGAAGTAATTTTCCCTTTTATTGTCTCTTCAATAGAGAGTTCTAAGCCATGAACCAAAGTAAAGTTTAGAAATAAATCCCAATATTGCTACACTGATTAAATGCAAAAATGTACAGTATATATGGACAAAAGGACAAGTTTAAATTAATAAAAGACAAAAGTGCAAGGATGTGTACTTAAAAAAACTTATGAAGAAATTAACTACTCATCCCATGAAACATTGTGAATGCTTTAATCGAACCAAAGCAATAGTGCAGTTTAAAAGTATATATGAAAGTAGAAAGAAAAAATAGTAAAACTGTTACGATAATTAATGTAACATGATAACAAATACCAGTTTTAATATCAACAAGCAACAGACTTTTTTTTGTAGCTAAAATAACTAGAAACTACTGACAGTGGAAGTCTTGCACATTCAAGGTACAAATGGCTCTTCCCACTTTTACATTAATAATATTGAGTTTAATGTTGACATGTTGCTAAGCTCAAGCCTTGATACTCTGTAAAGGATCAAAAATATATAACACATATTGAAATGCATTCAAGAGCTTAAAAAATGTTTAGTTGGAATCAGCAATACTTTTCCTAGATTAGCATTTTCCTTGATTCCATCAAACATCTTGAATAAAAAAATAAAAAAATAAACACAAGTTTTCTTAGAAAGCAACATAATTGTCTGTAGAATCCTTTGCTAGAATCTTTTAATACCAGAAAATGTACTTTTACTAAACCATGACATAAAAATACAAATATTTTGGATTCCCGTCACACTAGATTTGAATGTGATTTGACCTGCAGTCTTTGGGGTGGTTGAATCGCCGTGGTGTGTGTTTGAGGTCTTTGTTTAAGAACGGCCCTCAGATGGGCTTTCACGTCTCAGACTGATGCCTGCGGGAAGGGTTTGGGATGCTTGAGTGGACACACAACACTCCACCTCTACACACACACACACATACAGAGCTGCACATACACCTGCATCTGTCACACTTTGTCACTCAAACTAATGACCCAGGTTATGATACATCAGTCACACTAAGGCAATAAATACAAGAAGCCTTTGACTTTTTTATATAGTTGCTAGAATTGCCAGGAGTTACGGTTTGTGTGCGTGTCTGTGTGTGTCTGTAAATGGCTCATAATAAGAGCAAGAGTACCAAAACAACAGATTCAAGTGTAGCCAGCTCATTTAGATTAATAGAACATTACAATGGAATCCGTAAGGCCATCTCATGACTGATCGTTACTTCGGACACACGATCTGTTCTGTCCACATCCATATTATTGATCCTTCACATAATGTAGAGTGCAGAAAGCTCCCATCCACGCAACACTGCCCTAGGCTTCACTTACAGTCCTGACCACATTTAAACAAACATCATCCAGCGGTGTATTCTTTAACACTCAGCCAGAACATTCTACCCCGTTGAATGTAATGAAGAAATGTGCAGGTGGTATTGCACCTTATAATCAAAAAAATAAATAAATATAAGAAATTGGAGCATATCTTTTCTATAAAGACGATGGAGCTTTTTTTTTTTACTCCAAATATTCATTACTGTAATGCGAATGAATCTCAAGTTATTGTCATTGACATTGTCATGCTTGCCCTTAAAATATTATTTGATTAATATTATTATAATTGTATTTCACAATATACAGTATGCTTTCAACTGTACTTTATATTTGTACTTTTAAAGATTTTTTTTTGGCATTAGGCTACTAACTATTTTAGCAATTATTATATTGGGGTAAAATATCAACTTTATGAAAAAAGTTTTTTTTAATATAAATAATTTAATGCTTTAATGCTTTCTTGAGCAAAAGTGAAAAGTATCTAAATGCCATAAATCAGTGGTTCTCAAAGTGGGGTCCGCGGACCCCTGGGGGTCCGCGAGCTAAAGCCAGGGGGTCCGCGAAATAATTTACAACCTAACGTTTTTTTCCATGCTATGAGTCATGTTTTCTTTATCATCTGAAAACATGCTGTTTATTCCTAAGTAACTTATATAAAGCATTTAACATAAAACAATACAAAGTAGACACTTAAAGTTTTCTATAGATAGATAATCTATGTCTTTGCGTCAAGTAGATTCGCTGCTGTTGATTTTGCGGGACGTGCGCCAGAAAGGAGACAGAGAGACGGCATGAACACGCATCCGGTTCTTTTCTGTATTTTTAAAAGGCATGACATTTTGTAGTCATTTATAATGTAGCCTATACACAAATAAAAAATGGACACTTTACCGTTTCGGATGATGCACTCTTGTCTTATCTATGACCATAAATAAGAGTATTCCTGTTTACACTGCTGAGGAAAAATTCCCATGTAATTGCGCGCCGGCGTCTCGCGTGCGCGCACAATAGTCAGTTCTAGCACTGCTACTGTAGATTTGACATTAGAAGTCTGATCATTATCAAAATAAAAGTGCATAGTGACAGGGCCGTACCCACAACTGAGGTTGCAAGGATGCACATCGCGATGATACTGACCTTCTCGTCTGAGGTGCTTCAGCAGACTAACAACGATAGCTCGTCAATGTCAAAATGTTTGAGTCGGAGTGAACTCAAAGTTCCCCGCACGACGTTTCAGTCAACGGTCATAAAGTGCGAGATAAGATGTAGGCCTTTATTAACATAAACTAAACAGCTGTTTTAGATAAAAGTTTTAAAAAACGACTGAAACAATCAGTTTGCAAAGTATTAATCAAGCTCAACTTTAAAAAAGGAAAAAGCAGGTCAATAGAAACATACTGTGCCCATGAGATTAACATTATGGATTCATATATTTAACATATACTGTATGTTTTTTTTAGCTAATTACAGTTGCTCAAATTAACAACGCACGCACCTATTAAACATAATGCCATTATCATTGTATTTATAGGCTTATGGGCTTTATTTGTGTGCAGAATAGGCCTAATTATTGAAACATTTCTCTTTTAAGGCCATTCCTGATTGGAATATGTGATTGTGTTTCGTGACATCTTGACAAAAAAAAAAAAATGTATGCCACTGACTGACATGCTTCTACTAAATCTATAGTTATCCAATTGTGGGGCCTTAAAACACCTTAAAATGCACATGTGTAGATCAAGAACATCAAAAATTCCTAAGTGAGGGATCCTAACTAAGTGATTCCTAGCAAGATCACTTTCGTTACCTCAGTAGGCTATTTAGAAATTCCTGCATAGTACCCTGGGTGGAGACCATTCATTTTGTGCAAAAATATTTCATTTGCCGCTCACACATTAACTTTGTGCTCAATAACTGTTATAAATATGAGGGGGGTCCTTGGAATTTTTTTTCCCCTGAAAGGGGTCCCTGGCACCAAAATGTTTGAGAACCCCTGCCATAAATAGGTAGGATTGGAAGGATAAGTTTACTTACTCTAACATGAGATAGTATACAAACGCTTTGTAAATTTTCATGTGGATATCATGCAGCTCTTTGTTTATAGCATCGAACTTTTTCATCAGTGGATTTGTCTCTCTCTCTCTTTCTCTCTCTCTCTCTGATTCAGTGTTGGTGTTATTGATTGAATCGTTCCTCTGTTCTGCCTCCCTCAATTCTATCCGTTTCACTCGTTGGAAGGGAGGGAATGAATAAGTGATGAAAACAAAACAGCGGAACCCTCCTCAGATCAATATTGTGTGTGTGTGTGTGTGAGGTAGCACTAGAGAAGAGTTACTCGGGAGGATTGAGTGAGGTTCGGAGTGTGAAAAAGTGATTGAGGGGTTGGAGAAATGCACACACTAACGCTCACTGCCCCGTGTCATAAGAACACCAGGTGTCTGTTTAAAGTCACACTGACCTTTGCCTCTTTTTAAATTCACTCTTTCCTTCACATATATTTACCTCCTGTCCTCCTATACCATCTTTTTATACAGTTCCAGCTATGATCACATCCCACCCAAACACCACCATGGCCATAAAAGGGCAGAACAAGGAGTTAAACTGCACCGCCCGGGGTGAGAACCCCATCATCATCCGCTGGGAGCGAGGCGACACTTATATTGACTCGATTAACCCTCGATACTCCATCACCACCAGCCACAACGAGAAAAGCGATGAAGTTATCTCCACACTGAAGGTAAGACATACACACATACATGTATGATGTCAGTGAAGGAGTAGCATGTATGTCTTGCCTTAATGTTTCCAGAGTAGACATTTTACAGAATTATAATTATTGATTTATTTTGCTCTTGATGTTTGGTGAGCTTTGGATCTCTTAATTATTCATTTATTTACAGTAAACGATTTTATATTCTGACACATAAATTTATGTTTCTGCCGGTGCCAGAAAAAGTGGTGGGGACAATAACGACCCTGGCAAAAAGTGGTGGGGACATGTCCCACCCACAAATTACGCCTATGTTACCAACAAAACAAAAGCACATTCTTTCCATGAGTGTTGTCGCGAGTCGCGTTATCGCTCTTATGATCAGTTGCGGTTCAGAATTTAAAGGTACGTGTTGTTATTTTGTCAGTCAGTCGTGAAAGTCTAGTGGTTAAAAGCTTCTGGCAACATGAAATCCAGGGGAGAAGACCATTCTAGAGAGATGGCCCTCACTGCAGAACACGAAATCCAGGGGGAGGAGTTGGATCCAACTCCTCCCACTTTACATATACCTAAACCTACCCATCTCCGCCCCCTGATCCCTAGCCCCACCGCTAATCTTACCCATATCCACCCCCTTATCCTAGCCCCACCCCTAATCCTACCCATCTCCACCCCCTTATCCCTAATCCTACCCATCTCCGCCCCCTGATCCCTAACCCCACCCCTAATCCTACCCATCTCCACCCCCTGATCCCTAACCCCAACTCTAATCCTACCTATCTCCGCCCCTGAGAGCCATGAAACTGTATGTTTGAGATCGCCCATCCAGTTTTGTGCGAGAGTGAAGGAAGAGATTTGTGCTTGCGCATTACTTGAATGCACTCTTGACATTTGTCCTTAAAATAACGGCATAGAAAGGGCAGCAAATAAACTATAAAAAAGGTGTAGATATTCGTGTCTGAAATCTGCAATCAAATTTGTATTGGTTAAGTCAATGCAGAATATCTTGTATTTCTCTGTGGTACACCCATGGGATTGGTGCCTATGTTCTGACATAAAAAACACATTGGGCTGCCGCTGTGTTTATTTACTTAGTTTATAAATTGTTTTATATTATTACCAGTGAAGCACATTGGGCCTCAATTTATTTATTTATTTTTAATTGTATGTGTTTATATATATTATTCAAATTTTGATAAATGGTTTTCTGACCTGTAAATGATTTTATTCTGAAATGTATGCATGAAAGGTTATTTTATTAGTATTAGTAGTAGTAGTAGTAGTAGTAGTAGCATTTATATTATAATTACAGTTAGGGTTTAGGGATAAGAGATAGTATTTTAACATTGAAAACACTTTTAGATCGTTCAACAATACATGACTCAGGCCTCAAAATGAGCAAAGGATTTAAACAAGTTCATCCCTCTTAAACACTTTCTCTCTTTCTGCAGCTGAAACCAGCGGAGCGCGGGGATTCCGTCTTTTTCTCCTGTCACGCCATCAACTCATACGGCGAGGGCAGAGGGCTCATCCAGCTGACGGTGCAAGGCAAGACAATCAGCCATGAACAACATGCTCACATCTTACATGATACTCTTTATCTAGAGACATAAAATCAATAATTTACCTCCGGGCCCCAAGCCACCTCTTACTCTTCAGCCACGCTCTCTCTCTCTCTCTCTCTTTGTCTCAATCTCCTCCATCTGTTTGAAGTCTATTTCCACTTGTTTGGTTCGCAGAACCCCCTGACCCCCCAGAGCTGGAGGTTCGAGAGGTCAAAGATCGGAGTATGAACCTAAGGTGGACGCAGCGGTTTGACGGCAATAGCATCATCACCAGCTACGACATTGAGTACAAGAACAAATCCGGTGCGGCATTGCTTTGTTTCCATTTCAAGCTTGGATGAGTAACATTGTGAACGTGCATTAAATATGTATTTGTATGTCAGAAGAATATGTAGCGAATAAGCTCAGACTGTGAGAAGATGAATGGGATGTGAACGGATTTCTGCGACGTTGCGACTCGAGTGTATTGCCTTATTTTGCTGTTTGTACATCTGCTTCATCCTAGTTTTCCATGCATCGCTTGTTTTTCATATCCGTATGATTTGACCTGTAAACAGTCCTTTTTGCATGCTAACAAACATAATGTTCTGGAACAGCCTGGATGGAGGTGTGATGTAGTCATGTATCCGTGTTATTTTGTCCTTGTCGTAGACCCGTGGGAGCTGAAACATGCCACCCGTAAGATCTCGCCAACCAACAACCAGGCCAACATAGTGGAGCTCCACCCGGCGTCCGTGTACAGCATTCGCATGTACTCCTACAACAAGATTGGACGCAGTCAAGCCAGCAAAGAGCTGACCATCAGCACAGAGGAAGCACGTACGTCTACCGCCCCTGATGTACACACAAGCTCATATTCGTAAAGCATAAAACACTTTAGAATCAATCAACTTTATTCCAGACACAACGGTCCATAGAGACAACACAGTACATATATTTAAATCTTGGACCATCCTGGACTTTAATTAAAACAACAACGCTCTAAAACATAAAGAAATCTGGCATCATCCCTCACCCTCCTACATGCTGTTCCAAACCTGTACTTCCTTCTTTCTGTGGAACACAAAAGATACATTTCCTGGCCATTCTTTTCCATACTGTTCACAAAATCTGAACGATTGACTCATTGATCCAGTCACAATGGTTAAAAGCTCACTTGAGGGGAAGTTCAGTGAATAACAACTTCAGACACCATATGACTTGTACTTGGAATTTAGAGCCTATTTCATACGGGACACTTTTATTATACTTTTATGGTGCTTTTACACCATTTTTGAAGTACCAGTCCCCTATCATTGTAGTTACATAAAAAAAAAAGTTTCTGGGGTGTCATTCAAAATTGTTCCCATTGTGTTTCACAGAAAAAAAAGAAAGTCAACCAGGTTTGGAATGACTTCAAGGAGACAGAATGTTTTATTCCTTTAATAATCTTGTGACGTCACATAAATTCTCTTCTCACAGCTCCTGACGGGCCACCCATGGAGGTGATTTTACAGCCAATGACTTCTCAGAGTATCCGTGTCACTTGGAAGGTAAGCCTGAGACTTCTAACCTTGACTTTTTTGGGGGATTTTAGAGTTTTAGATTTAAGTCTCTCTCCTTTTCTTTTCACTCCACTCAGGCACCTAAAAAAGAGCTCCAAAATGGAGTGATCCGTGGCTATCAGATCGGTTATAGGGAGAACGGACCGGGCAGTAATGGACAATACAGTATAGTGGAGATGAAAGCCACAGGCGATAGTGAGGTGTACACACTGGATAACTTGAAGAAGTTTGCTCAGTACGGCGTGGTCGTCCAGGCGTTCAACCGAGCCGGAACCGGACCTTCCAGTTCGGAGATCAATGCCACAACACTCGAAGATGGTAATTAAACTTTCCATCCATCCATCATGCTCTAGGGATTTCTCTTTCGTCATGTGTACGGGGCGACTCTGGCCCGTGGTCCTCATCCACATGCGTGTCACTGTCATTGTGGCGACAGTGATATTGATGCTGTTAAGGATAATAGTAATAACAACAAGCATAGGAAAAATAATTATAATTAGCCTGTCTGCCGAGGCCCCTCTCCCTGATCCGCTGCTTTTCCTCCCAGTCTAATTATCTGCAGCTGAGCGCATTGTCTCCCCCTCTCTCTTTTCATCTTTCCTCCAGATCCCTCTCTCCGGCTTTCAACTCCCCTCCTCTCTGCTCCCAATCCTCTCTCACTCTCTCTCAAAACACCTTTCATTTATCTCTCCCTCCATCTCCCAACTTCCCCTTCCACCCATCCGCCCACTTCTGTCCCGCTGTATTTCTTCTCCATTCTTATTTTTGGAAAGCTCCTGGGTTGTTTTTGTGCCACTTTTGAGTTCTTCCATCGATTTTCCCCTGATGACTTTGTTTTTACCTTTCTTGTCATGTTTGTTTCTTTTCTTAAATTTCCAACCTGAAAATTCAAAACATTTTCCAACTCAACCAAGACGGTTTACCAGATTGAAACCAGGTCTACTTGTTGGTAGTCCTGTGCCTGGAGGGCCACTGTCCTGCTGAGTTCAGCTCCGACCCCAATTAAACACACCTAAACCAGCTAATCAAGGTCTTACTTGGTATTCTAGTAACTTCCAGGCAGGTGTGTTGGGCAAGTTGGACCTAAACTCTGCAGGACAGTGGTTTGAACACCCCAGCTATAAAACAATCAAGCTCAGACCTAGAATGAAAGTGAACCAATGACCAATTGTCGGGCTATTGGTGAGGGTCTGTCAGTCTAGTTTTTGTCGTGTATTCCACACCTTTGGCACTATTCAGTGGCTAGGTACCCTTTGAGGGCTTTTCGGCTGTTTGAGAATGTTGAATCAGCGACGGAGCCCGTCGGTGAGAGAGATTACTCTGATTGGCTGTTCAGCTTAGCGAACCAATGCAAGAGAAGATCAAATTGAGGATAGCAAACAAACAAAGTCAAGAGAGCACATAGGCGCTTCTCATTTTATAACAACAGTCCTAGCTTATCCGGTTTTCTTTTTTTAAATGATGAATATGGACTACTGCTACATGCTGCTATAGAGAGTTATTTCCTCTCATTCAGGCATAGAGCAGTCAGGCTGTTGATGGCTGTAGCCTTTGCTGTGCTTTCAAGAGCAACTTTTAGTCCCAGACGCCGATGACACCCCGGTCGCTAGTTCGCTAGGTCGCTAGTTCTTTGATGTCGATTCATTGTGTCGATGCGTCATTGAAATGGGCTCCAAAAATGGAGGGTTTGGTTTGCTTCACAGAGGCCTCTTTGGAATGATTCATTGAAAAGATCTGACTCAAGTGAATGATTTGTTCATGAATCAGAAAGGGCTACTTTAATGAATGTGCTAAAAAGATCTTGAGTGGGTGTCATGATTTTCAATGCATCATGACTTAAATTTAGTCTACCAAACACAGTAAACCTATTGAATGACTTCAAGAAATATATAGTGCACAAATTATATAGACCACTTTCCTGATACTTTTATGGTATTTGGCTCATTCACTTTCATTATATTGTCAAAAGGGGCTTTCGAACTTAGTTCTTGGAACTAGCCGCCAGGGTGGTTCCCCAAGAACTAATAGTTGCCTTAGGCAATAGTTGCCTTGCATTTTCACCACCAGTAGGAGCTCTAAAGTGACGTAAGCTGCGCTTGTTGTTGTGACTTTTATTTTGACGGCGCTGAGAACGCCAGAGCCTGAGTTCACAGTGCTCACATTCTTCGTGTACATTAGTTTACGATCTGTCTAACGGCCGTGTCTAATACGTTATTAGAGAGAACTGTTGTACATAGAAAGTGGACAGTATTAGCGTATGTTGTGTGGTTAATGTCCAGTGTCGCCAGCTGAGCAGAAATACATAATCATGTTTGGATTGGTCCCCTCAAAGTTGCGTTGGATTTTGTTCTTGGCGTAAAGGTTAAGAGGTCCATCTATCACTGTTTTCCATTTTCGTGGAGTTGCAGTAAATATAAACCCAGACAGCAAACTGACATTGAATCAACGTGGAAACGACGTCTCTCATGACATTGAAACAACGTTGATTTTGCTCATCGAATTAACGTTGAAACAACGTCAGACGCGGCATTCTTCAAAGCTAAATGAAAATCGAAAATTGGTTTTCTTTCGTAACGTTGAAACAACGCGTTGATTTCAATTTGATTTTCCGTTAGTTTTGAAAGAATGACGCGCCTGACGTTGGTTCAACATTAATTCGATGAGCAAAACAATGTCGGATCAACGTTGTTTCAACGTCATATTTCCACGTTGATTCAATGTCAGTTTGCTATCTGGGAAGGCTATAATCTGTTTACACAGGTTTTAAAAATTGGCGGGTGGTGGTGTTTCACGTGCATTCGGCCAATCAGCGTATACACTAACGTCACTGGTAGTTCTTATAGTGCTAGTTTAGACCCAACTCTGAACTAGGAGCTAAATGAGTTCCTCCAAAAGGAGTTCCTAGAACTAAAATCGTTCCTGGTTCCTGTGGTGCGAACACGGCAAAATCCGGGAACGTCCACCAATAGCTCTAGGAACTAAAGGTTCCTCTGGTATGAAAGCCCCTAATAGCAGCCAATGAAAAAAAAAAAAGAAAGTCATTCTGGTTTGAAACCACATGAGTGCGAGTTAATAATTATAGCTGGGAGGAAAGTAAAATGCCAATATATACCAGTAAGATGCCAATATACCCGTTTAGTGCATCAGATCTAGAAAGTCCGTGAGAGACTGGGCTTTACAGGCAGGTTTGAAGAGTTATAGCGAGTTGTGCTTGTGAGCGCTCTGTCAAGCCACTCTACTCTAAATGGCAGGTTTAGTGTGGTCCACCAGGGCCAGACAGAGTCGGACCCTAAGGCCTCTTCAAACAAATACCATCATTTCTCCTCTGCTCTCTCTCCCTCCCTGCTCTCACCGTCTCCTTTACTCGCTCCTCTTCCTGCGCCAGCTGCAGCTGCTCCCTCATAGAGCCAAGCCAGCTTTATCCCTCCTCTATCCCTCCTTTCATCCTGTCGTCCGCACATGCTTTTTCCCTCCCAGCAAGTCACACAGACAGGCTCTGTGTCCCCTCAATAGTGCCATTATTTATTCAGGGACGAAATTTGGCACATCACCACCACCACATTTGCAGCGCATCCGGAAAAAAAGCAAACGCATTTAGTAGGTGAAACAGCTCAAGATCGAGATAACAGTAACGTTTCACTTCTCTTCAGCTTCAGGATGTGATTGTTCTGTCCTTTTTGAGTGCAGTTACAAGGTTGTTGATGCTCCTGGGCCTCAGCAAGTGCTCCAATTGTAGTATATTACTGTCATTTTACTATATCACGGTAATTGTGCTCTTTCGCTGCAATTTTTGGTTTCCTCTTCACCTATTGTATCTTGTTTCCATTGGTGCCTGAATTATTTTCCCGCTGCTTCCTTTGCCTTTTATGTGACCGTCTCTCGTTTTCTTTTCCTCTCGCAGTTCCCAGCCAGCCACCCCAAAATGTGCGGGCCATCACGGTGACGTCGGACGAGGCGGTGATCACGTGGTCCGAGCCCCCGCGGATGACCCTGAATGGGGTTCTGAAGGGCTACCGTGTGGTGTTCTGGTCCCTCTACCCCGATGGAGGTGGGTGCTGTGGGGGCCAGACACTGGGGCTCAACCAGAGTAATTATACGCTACTACTGTTACTCCCTCACTAGCCGCGGTCCCCGTAGAGCGCCCCCTTCTGTCCACCTGTGTATCTGTATCCCAGCCAGTCCAAACCACAGACGATGTACATTTGTGGGTGGACGGGTGTATGTGTGTGTGTTGTGAGGAAAATGTAGATAAAAAACAAAAATACAATTTACACTACCGTTCAAAAGTTTGGGGTAGATACGATTTTTTAATGTTTTTGAATGATCACCAGGGCTGAATTTATTCGATAAAAAGTACAGTAAAAATTGTTTATACAGTATATAATATGTATATTATTTCTGTCATGCAAAGCTGAATTTCAGCATCATTACTCCAGTCTTCAATGACGCATGATCCTTCAGAAATCTTATTATATGCTGATTTAGTGCATACTATAGATTAGGGTCCTATTCTCACTATTAACTAACTATTAACTACGACTTTTGTCTCAATAAATGCCTGTTTACTGCGTATTAATAGTTAGGAACGTATTTGTTAAGTTTAGGTATTGGGTAGGATTAGGAATGTACAATATGGTCATGCAGAATAAGGCATTAGTATATATTCAAAACTAAATAAAATATATAATAGCCTATATAAAATACAAATTAAGAATTATCCCCATGATTTATTAATTCATTCCCTTGTTTTAATAAATCGTGGCCACATTGTACTAATCAGTTCCCTTGTTTTAGTAGGAATAAATTCTTAATTTGTGGCCACAATGTATGTATGGGAAAATATATTTATTTATGTATTATATATAAAAATATATTATATTTATATATATATATATATATATATATATATAATATATTATAAAAATATTAAGCAGCAGAACTGTTTCCTACTGAGCCCGTGTATATATATATATATATATATATATATATATATACATATATATACGGGCTCAGTAGGAAACAGTTCTGCTGCTTAATATTTTTATGAAAACCGTGAACATTTTTTTCCATGATTCTTTGATGAATAGAAAGTTCAAAAGAGCAGCATTTATTTGAAATTGGAAGCTTTTGTACCGTAAATGTTTTCATAATTGTGTCCTTACTGAATGAAACTATTAATTTCAACAACAAAAAATCTTACTGACGCTAGTAAAACTTTTGAACGGTAGTCTACTTAAACCAATAAATGGGCCGAATAATGTCTTACAAGGTAAGGGTATGTTGTTTATAACTAACTGAAATGCAACGACAATATGTTTTGTTGTTGTTGTTGTTGTTGTTGTTGTTGTTTATCCGGCTGTATATCACTTACAAAAAAAGTACTGCAGTGCTGTAAAGTAACATGGTACAGTGATGACATCAGATGGTAATACACACCATGCACTGAATCTTATTCAGTAGGAATCTAGTTTCTTCAAAGAATAGCATGGCATTGCCATCGTACAGGCATAAATGCTATTTTAACATCTTTTTACTTTTTGTTTGTTTTGAACCTGGACATAAATATCACTTTCTGCTAAATATAGCTTTACTGTGACAAGCAACCTTTTGTCCAGCAAAATAGACTATTTTAGTCTCCCGTTGAATAATACCATGGTACTTTTTTTGCAAGTGGAATGTGTGCAAACATGGTTCTCCTGTGTTCCCTTGTGTGATGTGTTCTAATTACACTGCTGTTATTAGTGAGTATATGAGCATGCAGAAAGAGAGTCATTCAGTATTTTTCACGTCTCTCAGAATGGGGAGAGATGCAGAACATCACTACCACTCGTGAGCAGGTGGAGCTGAAGGGTTTGGAGAAGTTCACAAACTACAGCATTCAGGTCCTGGCCTACACACAGGCAGGAGATGGCGTCCGCAGCAACGTACTCTACATTCAGACCCGAGAAGACCGTAAGTTCGCACACATGTAAACACGTGTCCATATGTCTGTGTACTTGAATACGTGTACACATACATTAAAAAACAATAAACCTATTCCAAAACCTAGTGAGCTATCTTATGGCTTGCTGCCTACAGGGCCAGCTTCATCATTTGAGACTCATCACATATAGTGCACAAGAGACTAGTTCACTCTTGATTGCAAAGCTATGCTAGCTTGTAAGCTATGAGGTTGTTAATTGATTGTACATGCTTTTGTTGAAGCCATCAGCCCACGTTATTTTAACTTATCTTTTGTTTAACAGTAGAGTTCCCTTACTAATACTAAAATAAATCCCTTACTAAAGACACAGTATTTCAAATCAAAATACTTACATCAAATCTAATTTTGTAATGTTGTGATGTACTCATAGCTGGTTGGATTGCTTCATGACTAAACATGCTTCGTGTTTACACAACGCTGTTTTCGACTAAAAACGGAAAACTTATTATGCTTTTTGGCCGTTCATTTACATTTTGAAATAAGTTTTTGAAAACTATACCGTATCCACGTAAACAATAAAAACGTGACTTCATGCGTATTACTTGTCCAGCCTATAGGCATGTAGTGTTTCTTTACAAAGTGACATCGCCAACTACTGGCCTGGCATGAATAAAACTTTCGTGTTTTTAGTCGTTTTCGTGGATCCTTGTGAGCGGGGCTCATTGTGACAAAGTTTCGTGTGTATGAGAAAAAAAGTTTTCAGTATATTGTTTACGTGTAAACATACCCTTAAAGTGTTTTTGAGAATCCTTAGGGGGAAAATGAATGGGAAGTTACTTCCGGATCCAAGGACGCTGTAAAAATGGGCTGGAATTTTCTGTATCTTCTGATTTATTTATCCTATTTGGTAACACTTTATAATAACTGCACGCTAATAATCATTAGTTAAGCATGAGTAAACCATTAATTCATCATTCATAAAGCATTAATAGACATTAATAAGCAGTTCATAAATACAGCTATAAATGATTTAAAAGCATATCTATAATTTGTTTAACAATTGTATTTCATCCTTTATTAATGATCAATTTATCATTTCTAAATGAAGAATTGCATTTTTTATGAACCAGTTATTTAAGAGTTTTCAGTGGTTCATACGATTACTTAGAGCGAGTAAGTAAATGATTAATAAATTATTTAAGTTTTAACTTATTATTCAGACATATAGTGATGGTTACTTAATGTGTTAATAAAATGCTTTATTAACATGTATTAATGCTGTAATTAAGGGTTAATTTGGGTAGTTATAAAGCATTTAGTAGTGGTCAGTTAACTATGTTCATGAGCTCATCTAAAGTGAGGACTATTCATGCCTTGTAAAGCATTTTTAAAGGCTGTTAACTATTTCTATCTTCTGTATCACTGCGTTGTGTTTGTTACATTTTACTGTTTAGAAGATTGACAAGTCTTTAAATCACCTTTATAAATGCTTTACAAAGCATGAATAGTCCTCACTTTAGATTAGGTCACAAAAATAGTTAACTGACCACTACTAAATGCTTTATAACTACCTGTATTTACTACATTTACTTACACTTTCTAAGTGGTCTTATGAATGACTGACAACTCTTAAACAACTGGTTTGTAAATAATGCTATACTTTATTTAGAAATTATTAATTGATCATTAACAAAGTATGAAAATACAATTATTAAACGCATTATAGATATGCTTATAAATCAAGAAAGAAGCATGTATAGCTATATTTATAAACTGCATTTTAATGTCTATTAATGTTTTATAAATGATGAATTAACTGTTTACTCATGCTTAACTAATGATTAATAGCGTGTAGTTATTATAAAGTGTTACCTTTTATTTTATCTTCTGAGCTTGCTGTAATGCATTCTGAGATTGACTTTGCTATGAATGATTCAGTCGTATAGAATGTGGCCTGTTAAGGGATCTTAAAAAACAAATTAATGTTACTGCCAGTGTTGGGTGTAACTAATTACTAAGTAATTAGTTACTGTAATTTAATTACTTTTCCCTTGAAAATCTGAAGTAAGGGATTACTCTTAATTTATATGTAATTTAATTACAGTTACTTTTGTTGTAATTGAGGTAAATACTGTGTATGGGTCAATCCGATCTCACAGCGATTCGTATGCATTTTATGAGGTACTCGCACTCGTACAAATTCATTTGTGAAGTCGTACGTAATTATTGTAAAATATGTATGAAAACATTCATGCAATTTTATAGTATTGATTTGAAAGAATTAAAACAGATTCATGTCTATCCTTGTATTATTCAGCTGGTTGAGATTGATATGGGATTTGGAAAGTAATTAGTAATTTAAAGTAATTAAATACTTTTTAGAGAGAGTAATTACTACAGTAATCTAATTACATTGTTGAAGAGGTAATTAGTAACTAGTAATTAATTACGTTTTTAGAGTAACTTACCCAACACTGGTTACTGCTTACTATTGAGCATATTTATTATGATACCCTGAATAGCCAGATTATTAGGTTTTGGACCACATAAAAGGTAAAAAAACGATATAGTCTTTTATCTGTGACAGATAATTGTGACCCTCCAGTGCGCTTTCAACCCAGACAGTGTAGAACCGGTGTTGAAACACACAGCCACATTATGTGCAATCCACTTCCCCTTTACCCCGACTCTATTCAAGCTCAAGGGTGTGTGTGTGTGTGTGTGTGTGTGTGTGTCTGGGTGGGGGGAGGTTGTGGGGCAGAAAATCTTGCCACAAAAACCACATTAGCTGGAGGCAAGTGCTGCATGGTCCCAGCAGATGATGCTGGATTGCTTGATTGCTGGATGCGGTCGCCGTGGCGACATTTAGGCTCTGAAATAGCATTAGCACACTTAATGAGAATTAAGACACTAAAGGAGGGGGGTCTGTAAAGCTGGTTTATGTCTCAAAGCAGATCTCCCATCCAACACAAGGAGAAGGATTTATTCTTTGTGGATTAGCTGACATTAATTTTGTGCTTACACTGGTCGGGATAGGATTATCCTATATCTGTCTCTCCTCCGTTCCCTGGTGGGGTTGAGGGGGGATTCAGGGAAATAAGGGGTGTCTGATTGGTGGAGAATAGGAGAGATGCATTGATCTTTTTCATTTAATTGAATGTGATAGATAGAGGAGTGTGTGGTGTCAGTTTGACAAGGGGCTTCCTGTCCACATTTTTGGGGCCAAGTACTTTCTGCTCATGGCACATATGGAAACTTTTTTTAAAACAATGTAATAATAGTCATTTTCGACTGTGTTCTCCATAATTTACAGGAAATTAGAACAACGGTTTGTGTCACCACTTTAAGACATAAACCCCCCTCAAGGATAAACCCCTGTATGGCTAAACCCTAGTAATGATGATTATGAATTTTTCTCCAAATCCTTCTTGAATCTCCATGTCTTGCTAAGCGTTGTAGACACTCTAATTTGTGACGGTTATTTCTAAGATGACAGAAGTGTGATGGGGATTTAATGTATTTTGGGGCCAATCCTAAACAAAGCTCTGTCTGGACCCCTACATATTTTTATGTAACTCCAAAAGCGGGAGTCTTATTTGTTGGCCAGTTTTCTTCGCAGTGCAATGGAAAAGACCATCAATATTCACTCGCATTGATGCCAATCAAAAGTTCACGCTGCTCCGAACAGATCCGTTAACAGCTGTTTATTGAAATTAAAATGTTTAATGCATTAAATTTTCACACTGAACACTGTCTTGGTGTGAAGATTAATCTTATGGTAAGAAATTCTCTACAATAGATTCAAGAAACATGTTTGTTTTTGTTTTTTGTTTTTTTTTTTTTTTGGCTCTTAGTTTCATTTGTTCTAGCTCTATTCCAAAAACTAGTTTTCTGCCTTCATAGGAGAAATTTTAAGGTAGACAAAGGCAGTTCCCAAAAGTAGGCTGCAATATTATAAGATATTCTAATTTTGGCCAAATTTGTGCAAACATTGAATGTGTCCTTCATAAAGAAATCCCAGAATGCATCCAAGATGGCTGGGGGGGGGAAGTATATTTTATTCAGAACAGATTTTAATTTGAATAGAAAAATCTAATTTTACCCAGTAATTTTACGTTTTTTTTTTTTTTTTTTTTTTACTTTTTTAGGGAGCATTAGCTCCAACTTAGCAACATGCTAAGTTATTTCAAACTCTGTAAGCAAAAACTCAGTTGTTTCTCATCTTCGCTTCACAAGCAGCGCTATTTATTTGCCATTTCCTATGTAGAAAGCTTTGATGCAGTCATGATGGTTAAGATGCTGCCAAAGTCCAAAGTGTTTCGACTTTTAGACTTTTTAACCGTACACGTAGCTTTTGCACACTCGACACTTGCACACTGGAAAGTTTAATCATTGTCCAATGTCTGGGACTATTACCAGTGTTGTAGTACTCGAGACTCGGACTCGTCTCGGACTCGGTCTTGAGACCATATTTTAATGGTCTTGGTCTTGTCATGGACTCGTGTGCATTTGGACTCGGAATTGACTCGTACTCGAACATTTTTTTATAGGACTCGGACTTATTCCCGAGTCCACTCGAGTTCAATTAAAAATATTTTTCATGATTATTAATGTATGTTAATAAAATATTTCTTTAAATTGATTGACACGCCCAGTGATTGGTGATTTTCTAGTGCGCAACTGCGCATGACAAATTGTAATAAAATTGCTTTTAACACCACCTACTATGTGGCCTTTTTACCCCAAACTGATCATATTTTTTAAACTCTAAGTAAATTCAGTAAAAAAAAAAAAAGGATTTTTAAATATATAAAAGGATATAAAGGATTAATAAATTAGGTAATCAACCCTCACTGGTCTCGGTCTCGACTCGGACTCGACCGTCTCTGGTCTCGGACTCGACTCGGACTCGACCGTCTCTGGTCTCGGTGTCGACTCGGACTCGAGTGAGGTGGTCTCGACTACAACACTGACTATTACTCTCAATTATGATGGATAAAAACGTGATTAAAACTCATTTAAACGTGTATCTTTTCACACACGCTGTACGGAAAACCCCAGCGTAAATTAAATTGTAAGTATACTTATTTAGCTGACTAAGTAGGCAGAAAGACAGCTCGCTTGTTTAAGAACAGGGCTCCACTTTTTTTTCTCGTTTTTTCTTTCTCTCTTTAAGAAAAAGTCCATTAAACTCCATAAGTAGCACACAACATATTACGACAAACCTTAAGGTCACATGGAGGTGATATAGAGGCCCACAATGCATCTCTCAAACATTAATCTTGTTTTCTGTTTCTTTTCTTTCTCTTTCAGACCCCGGCCCTCCAGCGGGCATCAAAGCAGTGCCATCCTCTGCCTCCAGTGTGGTGGTATCCTGGCTTCCCCCCATCAAGCCCAATGGTATCATCCGAAAATATACAATTTACTGTTCCAGCCCTGGATCGGGCCAACCGGTGAGGCACAAAAATGGGGAAACGTTGATTTTGGTGTTGCCGTCGTTTTTTTGTTTTTGTGTTTGTTGAAGCATCCAAGACCGAATATTTATGTGGGTTTTTTTTACATTTATGTGCTTTACTTACTATGTGTGGATTTTTTCTTTTTCTTTAGATTCTAAGTATAAATCTCGGCGTTTGGTTAATTGTATCGTCTATTTGTTCGTGGATTTGCGGCGAGTGTATTTTTAATCTGTGCATGTGTGAGATTGTGCTGCAGTATCAGCGGGATGTGTGTGTGCGTGTGTACTTGTGTGTGTGTGTGTAAATGAGAGGCTCATACTGCAGTGTGTGCATGCAAGCTCACCCTCCCGTCTCATTTGCATATCTGCGTCTCATCACGTTGCCTAGACAACCTCATCTGTTCATCAGGGAGGGCAGGAAACAAGCTGACAGCACACACACAAACACACACACATCTCACAGGCTCGATCACATTTATAACCACCTTCTCGACAAACACACACACACGTAATTTGTGTACTCTCACACTGAATTAATGTACCTGTCCAGATGTACACATGCTCACTCTCTTCTGTTCTTTTGCTCATTCACAAATCACTTCTCTCTCTCTCTCTCTCTCTCTCTCTCTCTCTCTCTCTCTCTCTCTCTCTCTGGCCTCACTGGGTGATTACTATGTAAATGAGTGTGTGTGTGTGTGGGGGGGGGGGTGCAAGGGGGCGTGGAGGAGGAGGAAGGGGGGTCAGACTCAGCGTGTGGGGAGTACTTTTGTTCCTCTTTTCATTATCTCCCTCTATCGCTCCCCGGATCACCGCTATCTCTACACCGGAGGAATATTTTAATATCCGTTACAGCGCTCCACCCCTCCCACCCGCACCTCCCGTACCTGATTCATGCTGAGAGAGACGAGGGTGGGGGTTTGGGGGGTGAATCGAAATTAACTATGGAGAGAGGGTTCAGAAGCCTAGTGAGCTGCCTACCAAGACAGCATCTTTAGGGATCTTAGACATACTCCCAGAAGGCAGCGCTTTTCAAACTTTTTGGTGCCAAGGTCCCCAAATATGATGATCCTCTTCCTAAAATATGAAGACAGCTAAATATAGTACTCATTTGTATGGGAAAAATAGCAAACATGATATGATAAAAGCAACATCTGTGAATGTGTATTGATTTATAAATATTATTATGATTATTATTTTTGTACATAAATATTATTTGTGTTTTGTTATTTATATTAATGGTTTAATTTAACAATAATTATAATATAATTGTATTACAAAAATATAATATAATATTATTATGATTATTATTATTATTATTTTCACTATTTATCTCTAAACCCCATGACCTTGGCTAATATACAAACCAGCACCACATGTAGTCTTCACAAATAAACCTAGCCCAGAATGCACTGTGACAAATTCTTGGAAAAATAATATTCCAAGATGGCCGATCAGGAAATCTAAAAAATTCCTGGGGGATGCTAACATTTCATTAGCATTCCCATTCATCTTAATGACAGTTGCTAGGCTGGCACATGTAGGCAGGAAGTATGTAAACTGCATGCTAAAGTCACATTGTTGTGGAAGTAGCGACAGATCTTTTCTTCCATTTTGTGACGCACATCTGAGTGAAACAGATTATCAAAAAGAAAAAAGTCTGATAAAAAATGACAAGGTAAATGTTAGAAAATTAAACCAATGCATGGATGAATCCACAATAAGATCAATAACATGCATTTAGAAAATAGATAGGGTGAATTTCCACTTCATGTCGACTTTAAACCCTATTTTTATATTGTAATTTGTATTGCTTGCATACTGGAATAACATTATTATAGTAATCTATTGTAAAGTGTTCCACAAACATTGTTGATGAGTATTCCATTCCATTCTGTTTCTATTTCAGTTAGAATGCCGCTTTAGAAGACAGCTGCAACTGTAGGTATTATATTTCTGATTATGAATAGAATATGGAAATATGTTTACCTAAAATCCACTGAAGAACCCATACTGACATGAGTTAGTGCACTGTGTTAGTGTCAGGACCGAGGGGTACGAGAGATGATGGCAGGGCAGCATCAGTGGTGGAGGAAGTACTGAATCTCAGTACTTACGTAAAAGTACAAATACTCAGATAAATATTTACTTTAGTAAAAGTAGAAGTAACACAATGACAACCATACTTAAGTAAAAAGTAAAAAGTACTTTATTTTAAATGTACTTTAAGTATTAAAAGTAAAAGTACTTGCATAACAATTTATTATCTTAATGTCTATTTTCTAATGATTAATAAAACATTTAATTCTAACTCATTCAACCTAATAGCTTACTCCTATAATGATGTTCAATAATGATGGAAAAAAATGTCACCATTTCTGAAACAAGCTTGCAATTAGGCAATATCATGCTTATCCTTACTATATGTTAATAACTATGTTTGGCAGTAAACACGATTCATTTATGGTGTAATTCTGAACCTCTTGGCTTGCCATAATCCTAACCAAACGTATATTACACACGGTGTGTTTCCTATGCATGTAAAAACAAATTTGCGCATATGAGTTGCATGATAAACACACTGCGTGTGAGACGCATATAGTGTGACCGGGTTGATATACTGTATCTATGGCAACCAAACGTCACTGGTGAGACAAACGTGCAACGAACGGACGGTCAGATTACGTTTTGGCAGGGGAAAACTGATCAGAAAATGTAACGAAAATGTAACAGAAGTTTTAGAAATGTAGTGGAGTAGAAAGTATAATAATTGCTGCAAAATGTAACGAAGTAAAAGTAAAAAGTAGGCACTATTTATTGTACTTAAGTAAAGTAAAGATACGTGAAAAATGTACTTAAGTAAAGTAACGAAGTATTTGTACTTCGTTACATTCCACCACTGGGCAGCATTCAGCGAGATCGGTGGGAATGACACTGTGTGTTTGCATGTCTGCGGGCAAGAGACATTCATCGTGATGAACATGCGTTTGGACAGCAGACACACGGCTCTCTTAAACACACTACAATTACAGAGAGCTTGAAGCACAGCCTAACATCACGTTATTTCTGTGTGTGTACAGTGATACTGTTCTATGTTCTTGTTGTGCATTTCAATGAAAGGTGGATATAATAATAGAAAAATACTTATCGTGTGTGTGTGTTACGCATGCTGAGGTGAGCATCAGATATCTCTCATTAGAATGCCTCTATTGTTAGTGTTATCTGAGGCTGACTGATCTAGTGTGTCTGGGGGTATTGTCTTTTTACCCTATCATCTACTTGTGTAAGGCCCCCTGGGTCTCCCTCTCTCTCTCTCTCTCTCTCTCTCTCTCTCTCTCTCATACACACACATACAAACACACACAGTTAAGCCTTTTTCACTCACGTAAAGAAAAGCAGCAGAAATCTGTTATATAGCTAACGCTATTAATTCAAGGGTAAAGGAAAGAATTGTGTTTGAATAATCATTTTCTCCAGGTGCCGCCACACACGTTACACATTCATCTTCACCTTTAAAAGGGCCCAGTATAAATCCTGTTTTAAAGCAAGTTGTCATCTTTCATTTTTAGCTTTAAAAAGCTTTTATATAAGAGCTGAAGCCTATAGTAAGGCCAGAAACGTATTCAAATACCAGAAAGTTCAATCCTGATGTACAGTATAACAAAGCTCAGTACTCAGATGCTATCAAATGTGTTATTAAAGTGCAAAAATTCATAGGCAAAAAGTTGATTGTTGATTGTCAATAGTGTCGTGATGGACTGTATGAAGCACAGCTCGCATAAAAGACTTTTAAACTGCAGTTTTATGTTGGTCAACATAACTGAATAGAATAGCCCTTTCAATTTTAACTAGCAAAATTGACTGTAGAAGAAGAACGTTTATGCTAATACCCGCTATAGACGAATCCGGCGAAATTACCGGAAGTAAGCGGGCGCCATTACTGAGCTGTTGCTGGGTAGCGTTGCGCCATTGCCTCCTATTGTTTTAGTTGCAACTTGCGTCCGCTGGAATAAACAGCCCGCGATTTACGACTGTCACTGACGTTACAACGTTACCCCTTGTATAATGTCGAGTGGGATAAATTGTTTCAATGGTGGCAGTAAAATTTCAATTTTGAAGAGAAAACATTGTGAATACCCCGGATCGACTGCCCCTGTCTGGTGCCGTACGGTTTACACAGATTTCCTGGGCGAGTACAAGACGCGGACATTCGCGTATAATAACAATTATTTAATGACATAAGTAAAAAAAATATAATAAATATGTGATATAGTGATCAGCAAAATCTCCTCTCTTGCTATTTTTTTCTGTTCAATTAACATGCTATGGTCATTAAATGGCTTTCCTGAGCTAAATGTAACGTTATGTGACATAATTGTTTTCCTGCTGTTATATTGACCTCTTTCCATGGTTTAAAAACACTAATTGGTCGATATTATGTATACTTTCCAGCTAACGTTACCTTACCCTTGCCCGTTGCATTTGAAAATGAGATAAATAATGGACACAAATGAAAAACATGATTTTTTTTTTTGTTTGATTTCATTCATTTATTTATTTATTGTTTCCAAATGGACAGATCTTTTTTTTATAGTTTCCTCGTTAGCAAACGTTAGCCTAGCTACTGTAGCTTGCCAAGCTATTTTCATAAATAATCTGTAAGATCGTTTGTACCTTCATCTGTGACTGGAGGCCACTGTCTAACATCTTCAACCCAACAAGTCATTCTGCCTGGCTGTAGCTGTCATCGAGGGTGCGTTATCACCGGTGCATATGTCTATGCTGGTGTAACAGCTCAGTAATGGCGTCGCCACAAGATGGCAGCCTACACAGAACGCTCGTCGGATTCGTCTATAGCGGCCCGTATATTATGGATTGCGTTTGGACACATTTCAAAATCCAACATACATTGAAACATTTGTATCCACATACTTGTTGAGTCTAAAAACAGCTATTGTGAATTGTTTTTTCTAACAGAATAACATCACAGCCCTGTCTTTATCAGCTTTAGCGTGTTTGTTCGTAACATTGTGTTCTTGCGCTGATTCCAGGCACCCAGCGAATACGAAGCCAACCCTGAGCTGCTGATATACAGAATCACCCACCTGACCCGGGGTCAGCAGTATCTGATCTGGTCAGCTGCCGTCACCACTGCTGGTCGGGGCAACATCAGCGAGAAGGTGACTGTGGAGCCTGCTGGGAAAGGTGAGTCCGCCTAGCGGTTAATAGGAAAATAAGTCTTTATGAAGACCTGTGTCATATCTCCTATCAGCTCTTCAACTATAGAAGTCAATACATGATCTCAAATCAGACAGTTTGATCGTTTCCGAGCAGTAATCAATGTCAATTCCTGTCTATAATCTTGCTTTATTTACTCAGCGATTATGTAGAAATTGTGCAATTGCCTGAGAAGGCAGATGACTCGAGTGAGCACAGGGTCATTCTGTCATTGATGCTCTCTTCCTTTTCCTTCATTCTCTCCTGATGGATGGTGCTATAGCCTGTCATTTATTATGAGGAGAGGAGTAAAAGCAACTAAATGAGAAAGAGATGGCAGACAATGACCCGGCCAATATGCCAGACAATGAAGGGGGCAGTTCAATCAATATTTCCTGGGTCAGAGAGAATCTATGAGTGTGTGTGTTATTAAACAACTGGTTCACAGCTAGTTTAAAGAGCAAGAGTCCCTTGATGGCCAATTTTTCCATGTATGTTCAATTTCCATTGAGTGAACTGTTGTGGTCACACACTAAATAGTCATTAAATAACATGTAGAGGTCAAACTGTATAATATATACTTTTTAAGGGTTGGTTCACACAGAGTGTGCTTTTGTGTTTAAAGGTCTGAGGTAAACAAGGGAAATAAACGCAAGGTCTTGAAAAGTTGAACTTATTTTGCTTTGAGTGGCACATTTATAGAACACTGTGTCACTGCTAAAAACGTGAGATGAAGATGTCCATTGTTTTGACTCAACAAATATGTCCATCTATTGCGTGTTTACCATAGACTGTAAAAATAATGGACAAAGTGTCTGTGACGTCACGCATAGACTTTCTGAAGAACAGTTTTGAGGCTGGTATGGTTGGCGCCATATTGGAAAATCTTGGGAAATACAAAATACAAATGTTCAGAAAGGATACAGAGGTGATATGATGTGTTGTGTCAGATCATCGCAGCCCGTTATCAGCTGTCGATCAAAGTTAACCGCCCTTATTTGTCATACATTTTGTATCTAAATACGATCGAAACTAACGAGTTAGAAAAAAATTCACCCCCCTCACAGTTGTCAGGCACTCGGAGCCTATCGAAAATTACAATAAAAGTCCATGGGACCAAACTGTAAACAAATGAATTTATGCTGTGAAAACAGGACATTTTATGAATATTGGCTCCCTTTTGGGACCGGCCTCTAGCGGATTTTAGATGCACTTCCGGGTAGGCTTCGTTTTTCAGATTAGAATGTTCCCGCTTGGTGTTTACATATAAAAGCAATGGAAACGTAACGCAGTGGAATGGGCCCCTAAAACCCCAACCTTTTTTACTTCCTTTGCAGGGTTCAAACCTTAGGAAGGTCAGCCCACCCTAAGCCCAGTATAATTTGTGCACCGGTATATGACTCTTTGTTTGTCCTACTCAGCTCCTGCTAAAATCCTATCTTTTGGTGGAACGGTGACCACTCCATGGATGAAGGAAGTCCGGCTGCCGTGCAGCTCGGTGGGAGAGCCGACACCTACCATCAAATGGACCAAAGACAGGTCTGAGATCAGCTTTTGGCGATTTCCTGAAAACCCCTATGAGTTTTGAATTATGAAAAGTGACAGTTTAGTTGTACAACCCCAAATTCAAGGTCAATGTGATTGTGATTTGATCATCACAGTGAGGACACTGCCATTCCGGTTACTCAGGATGGTCACAGGAACATTCTTTCAAATGGTACCCTGGTGCTACGTTCTGTGAAAGCCGAGGATTCTGGGTACTACACCTGCACCGCGACCAACACGTTGGGGTTTGACACAATCATCGTAAACCTGCTGGTACAAGGTAAGGAAAAGTGTATTTGCATACAGTCCTGGGTCAACTACTTTGTTGGTCCTCGAAGAGTTCCTATCAACCAATCTGAATTTAGGTTTGGGGGGCGGTCACATTAGTGACATTTTGTGTGTAAAAAGGGTCCATTGTCCAATAGCAATGTATGATGCACAGCTCACACAGAAGTCAGAAGCCGCTTTCTGTTGGTCAACGTGGCAGCTTTTCATGACCAATCATTCACTCTGAAGCAAAATTCTCGAACATGCAGATTCCTGTTGATGACTCGATTTGGACCATGAAAACTTGCCGATCAATGGAAAATATGACCCGTACCTTTAGAATGGGGGTAGAGATATAAGATTGTGTCATGTTCCAGGACGGGAAAAAGTTGACTTCCCATCCACCTGTGTGTGTGTCTTGTGTTATAGTGCCTCCAGATCAACCACGTTTGACAGTTTCCACCACGTCCACTTCTTCTATAACTCTGGCTTGGATCCCTGGAGACAATGGAGGAAGCTCCATCAGAGGTACAAGCTTTTGTCCTGCCTCTGTCTGGTCGTCTGGTCGTCTCTATCTCTCACCCCCTTTTTAATTTTCTTTTATCTATCTCTAAGGTTTGTTTTATTATGTTTCACACATTCTACCTTGTTTCTATCAGTCTATCTGTCTTTCTCTCAGAATGTTGAATCCGTCACGTTACTGTCAAACTGCTTGCACCTCACAGTAAATTAGGTAAAAACATAGATATCTGTGGTGTTTGTGTGTGGAAGGGTGGGAGGAGAATACGGAGCACACCAGGCTGTCAGTGGGTAAATCCTTTTGATGTGGAGCCCTTTATTTTGCCATCTGCCAAAGCTGAAGTGAGACACCAAATCCATCCCGTTCCTAATGATGGGCGACGCCATATTGTGCATCTATTTGCATAACTGTGCAGTCAGCATTTTTTCTCTCTTTGTAACTAATGGAGGTTTACAGCCATCTGATCAGCTCTTCATCTGAGATAGTTACTCTGTGATTAGTCTGTAAGGTCAATGCGCCATCTAGTGGTGATGTTAGGAAGTCTTTATTATGGTGTCCTGAGTTATGCTTGCAATGCCAAAATCATGAGTTTGATTCCCAGAAATTGCATGAACTAATAAAATAATGTAATACATTATGCAACAATAAACCTTTAAACATTGTTGTACAATGATATAAATATGTTTATTCAGTTACAAAAAAAATATATATTTTTTTTTTTTACCAATTTTGGTAAAATTTTTGTACATTAATATGACAGCATATTGTCAGTCCACTCAAATAATGAGTAAACAAAAAAAAAAAACGATTTGCTCAAATTGCTTCTAGTTCTTGGAATGGGAAGTCCAATGGGGCACATTGCATTGTGGGATACAGTATCCTACATAGTGTGATCTGCTATTGCACATTTTTGCAAATCTGGAAAATGTGCATATTGTTGTCAGCATACGTACTCCATACTCCACAAGCAGTCGTATATTAGTATGCTATTCAAACATATTGTTAGACTCCAAAACACTTTTAGTACACTACTCTTTAAAACAGAATCCTAGAATTCAGTGAAAACAGCTGTCCTATATTGCATATGTGTGTGTGTTCAGGATTCGTGCTGCAGTATTCAGTTGATAACACTGAGGAGTGGAAGGATGTCTTCATTAGCTCAAGCGAACGCTCTTTCAAGTTGGACAACTTGCGCTGTGGAACCTGGTACAAAGTCAAACTGGCAGCTAAAAACAGTGTGGGAGCCGGTCGCATCAGCGAGATCATTGAGGCCAAGACTCATGGCAGAGGTGAGTGGTTCTAGCTAACTTAAAGGACCTTTTATCAAGGTTCTTGCACCAAAAATATAATTGTTTAGTTCCTTGTGACCAGTTCCTTCCTCCTTACTAACCCTTAGAATTAAATAGGCTCAGTTTGCTACTGTACCTTTAAGACTTATGTAAAAATTATCATTGGCTATTTAGCATTTTTCATACTTTTTAAATTCATACACGCTAGCGTTCAATATTCTGAGTAATTTTTTTTATGTTTTTATAAGTCACTTGTGCTCACCAAGGCTGCATTTATTAAGGCTGCATAAATACAGTAAAAAACAGAAATATTGTGAAATATTATTCCAATTTAAAATGATTATTTTCTATTTGAGAATATATTTTTTCAGCATCATTACTCCAGTCTTCAGTGTCACATGATCCTTCAGAAATCATTCTGGTATTGTGATTTTCTGCTCAGGAAACATTTATTATTATCAATGCTGAAAACAGTTGTGGTGCTTAATATTTTTGTGGCAATCGTGATACATTTTTTCAGCATTCTTTGATGAATAGAAAGTTAAAACTGCATTTATATGAAATATAAATCTTTTGTAACATTATAAATATCATTACAATCTCTCGTCAATTTAATTTGACTGCTGAAAATAGGTATTAATTTCATTTTTTTTAACATTTTGAATGGTAGCGTATATCCCATTAAGGAAGATTTATGTGAAATTCAAGGATAAATCCGAAATAACATCTATGTATGTGACATTTAAAAGTAAAAAGTAGACCTACCAATCTATTGCATCAATACAACCTTATAATAGTTTGAACTCAGCCAATCATTGATACAGATTACATGGATTATATGGTAATCAATCTATAACACATAAGTATATTGTAGTATGAAATCAGCCAATCATTCGTTTTATTTCTTATTTTTGCAGAGCCGCAGTTCAATAAGGACCAGCCCCTCTTCACTCACATCAACTCCACCCACGCCCGGCTCAACCTCCAGGGCTGGACGAGCGGCGGCTGCCCCATCACCGCTGTCCTTCTGGAGTTCCGTCCCAAAGGCACCTGGGCCTGGCAGAGCGTTCGCACCAACGCCTCTGCTGACATCTTCCTCGCTGAGCTGCGTGAGGCCACCTGGTATGAGCTGAAGATGAAGGCGTGCAACAGCGCCGGGTGCGGGAACCAGAGCTCACAGTTTGCCACGCTGGATTATGATGGCAGTACGTCCCAGCTATAATAAAATGAAATTATGTGAATGCACCATCAGTCGAGTCACTCAATTGTCATTCAATACTTGTACGGATGTCCAGATATATTTCCTCCAGGGCCAGGGCATGTACTACAGGACGACGCAAAAGAACATGTACAATTAGCAGCTAAATCAATTAAATAATCTGATTTTAGGCCTGAATTTTAGCGATAAGAGCCTTGACATGAGGCTTTATCTCGATCTCTTCATTTATCTCTATTTCCTTTCCTCCGCAGGCACTATTCCGCCAATTAAGTCAGCACGAGGGGAAGGGGACGATGTTAAAAAGCTTTTCTCAATCGGCTGCCCAGTCATCCTGGTCACGTTAGGCATGGCGCTACTCTTTATTATCCGCAAGAAACGCAAAGAAAAGAGACTCAAGAGACTCAGAGGTAAGTAAGAGAGTGAAAGAGGCGGGAATCTGTATTGAAAGAATGGAACTGTTTTTTTTTTTAAATATTTGATACTGTATGTATTTTTAATGTGTATGTATGTGTATATACAGTGTATATATGAAGAGTTCAGATGCAAAACCCTCTAAATGCCATTTGAAATTTTCTTCTTTAATGATGATTTTTATCAAACTTGTATATTTAAGTTCAGTAATTTATTTCAAATAGGTAATTATCATTGCCATTTAAGTGAAATCACTGAACTTAAATATACAGGCTTGATAAAAATGATCATTCTAGAAGAAAAATTCAAATGGCACTTAGAGGCTTTTGCATCTGAACTCTTCATATTATATTTTGAGAATCAATTTACAGGTTTGAATAAAAGAACTCTGTTTGCTTCTGTAGATGCTAAAAGCTTGGCTGAGATGCTTATCAGGTAAGGATATAGTTAATAGTCTGTGTAAAGATTAAACTCCAAAATTAAAACATTGATCACATTCATTCCTTATGAAATGTGTTTGTTTAAGGCAGTGGCAATACTTTTATGTTTGTGTCTTTTTGTGGTTGTTTTGCACCTGGAGCAGTAAGAACAATCGAAGTTTTGACACTCCAGTTAAAGGCCCACCTCAGGGACCCCGACTGCACATAGATATCCCGCGCGTGCAGCTGCTCATCGAGGATAAAGAGGGAATCAAACAGATAGGTCAGTGTATGTGTGTGTATGCATGTGCTGTTGAGTCATATGGAAGTCATACCAATATACCTGGAAGAAATATATATTATGCATAATACGATGGATGGATGGATGGATGGATGGATGGACAGATGGAGATAGATAGATAGATAGATGATAGATAGTTAGATAGATAGATAGATATATAGATAGATAGATAGATAGATAGATAGATAGATAGATAGATAGATAGATAGATAGATAGATAGATAGATAGACAGACAAAGATAGATAGATAGACAAAGATAAAAAGATAGATAGACAGACAGACAGACAGACAGACAAAGATAGATAGATAGACATAGATAGATACATAGATAGATAGATAGATAGATAGATAGATAGATAGATAGATAGATAGATAGATAGATAGATAGATAGATAGATAGATAGATAGATAGATAGATAGATAGATAGATAGATAGATAGACAGACATATAGATAGATAGATAGATAGATAGATAGATAGATAGATAGATAGATAGATAGATAGATAGATAGATAGATAGATAGATAGATAGATAGATAGATAGATGGATAGATAGATATATGGATAGACAGACAGACAGACAGACAGACAGACAGACAGACAGACAGACAGACAGACAGATAGATAGATAGATAGATAGATAGATAGATAGATAGATAGACAGACAAAGATAGATAGATAGACAAAGATAAAAAGATAGATAGATAGATAGATAGACAGACAGACAGACAGACAGACAAAGATAGATAGATAGATAGATAGATAGATAGATAGATAGATAGATAGATAGATAGATAGATAGATAGATAGATAGATAGATAGATAGACAGACAGACAGACAGACAGACAAAGATAGATAGATAGATAGATAGATAGATAGATAGATAGATAGATAGATAGATAGATAGATAGATAGATAGACAAAGATAGACAGACAAAGACAGATAGATAGACAAAGATAGATAGATAGATAGATAGATAGATAGATAGATAGATAGATAGATAGATAGATAGATAGATAGACAGACATATAGATAGATAGACAGACAGACAGACAGACAGACAGACAGACAGACAGACAGACAGACAGACAGACAGACAGATAGATAGATAGATAGATAGATAGATAGATAGATAGATAGATAGATAGACAGACATATAGATAGACAGACAGACAGACAGACAGACAGACAGATAGACAGATAGATAGATAGATAGATAGATAGATAGATAGATAGATAGATAGATAGATAGATAGATAGATAGATAGATAGATAGATGGATAGATAGATATATGGATAGACAGACAGACAGACAGACAGACAGACAGACAGACAGACAGACAGACAGACAGACAGATAGATAGATAGATAGATAGATAGATAGATAGACAGACAAAGATAGATAGATAGACAAAGATAAAAAGATAGATAGATAGATAGATAGACAGACAGACAGACAGACAGACAAAGATAGATAGATAGATAGATAGATAGATAGATAGATAGATAGATAGATAGATAGATAGATAGACAGACAGACAGACAGACAGACAAAGATAGATAGATAGATAGATAGATAGATAGATAGATAGATAGATAGATAGATAGATAGATAGATAGATAGATAGATAGATAGATAGATAGACAAAGATAGACAGACAAAGACAGATAGATAGACAAAGATAGATAGATAGATAGATAGATAGATAGATAGATAGATAGATAGATAGATAGATAGATAGACAGACATATAGATAGATAGACAGACAGACAGACAGACAGACAGACAGACAGACAGACAGACAGACAGACAGACAGACAGATAGATAGATAGATAGATAGATAGATAGATAGATAGATAGATAGATAGATAGATAGATAGACAGACATATAGATAGACAGACAGACAGACAGACAGACAGACAGATAGACAGATAGATAGATAGATAGATAGATAGATAGATAGATAGATAGATAGATAGATAGATAGATAGATAGATAGATAGATAGATAGATAGATAGATAGATTTTCCTCATTGTATCTTTGTTTTTCTCTGTTGTGTGTGACAGGTGAAGACAAGGCCACTATCCCTGTGACGGACACTGAGTTCAGCCAATCAGTGAACCCTCAGAGCTTCTGTACGGGTGTGTCTGTGCATCACCCTGCCCTCATCCAGAACACTGGCCCTTTGATTGACATGTCAGACATCAGGCCTGGCACCAGTATGTCATAGCTCACCCACTTGTTGCATATGAGATAGAAGATGGTATGGTATCATTTGTGAATGTTTCATATACTCTCTCATTTGACCTTTTCTCAGATCCAGTATCGAGGAAGAGTGTGAAGTCTGCGCACAGCACAAGGAACCGCTATTCCAGCCAGTGGACTCTGACGAAATGCCAGGCCTCCACACCTGCTCGCACTCTCACCTCAGACTGGCGGACAGTGGGCTCCCAGCACGGCATCACGGTCACAGAGAGTGACAGCTACAGCGCCAGCCTGTCCCAGGACACAGGTCAAATTTCATACACACAAATTTCAGGTTTTAATTATATTTATGGTCTCAGTAACCAGACTTGAAAAACTGTCCACTTTGAAAGAAAGGGGCCGTTTGACCAGCATATGAAGTGATCAACCACAGTGTGTTTAACACTATCTCTGTTCTTTACTATCCTCAGATAAGGGACGTAACAGTATGGTGTCCACAGAGAGTGCATCTTCCACGTACGAGGAGCTGGCCCGGGCGTACGAACACGCTAAGCTGGAAGAACACCTGCAGCACGCCAAGTTCGAGATCACAGAGTGCTTCATCTCAGACAGCTCCTCTGATCAGATGACCACAGGAACCAATGATAACGCAGACAGCATGACCTCTATGAGCACACCATCCGAACCGGGCATCTGTCGCTTCACTGCCTCCCCACCCAAACCACAGGACTACGACCGCGGCAAAAATGTGGCAGTGCCCATTCCCCACCGCGCCAACAAGAGTGAGTTGATGACACATTTAGGTGGTTTTATGGGGGTCATCTTAAGCATTTAGTGCTGGAGCTGTGAAGTCCAGGTTGTGTCATTTCCAGAACTGCTTCTCCCTTTTTTTATAAATAATAATATTGTATAAAATATTATAGATTATAGAATCACATACTATAACTATTTATTGTAATATTTAATAATAATAATAGTTATTATTCTGACATTCCTGAAGGGTTAAATGAAATAGAAAAAAAAATGGTTTGCAGCAGTTATGATCTCAGTAAAGTGTGAAATATAATATATATTTTACAAATATTATATTATATTTAATTTAAAAAACATGGTTGGTTTAAATATTTTCGCATATGTATAATTTCAGTGAATGTTTTCTGATATTTCTGATTACAAAAGTTATAAAAAAATAAATATTTATACAATAAGTAAAAAACTATAATATTTAAAAAAAATGTATACATTTGTAAAATATTTTTTCTAATATATTCTTTAAAAATAAAAATAAAATGTTTTGTACATTTCTTCTTATTATATATGTATCATAAATATAAAATATCTTTGGTTTTGGTTGTTTTTGTGTTATATTTTTTGCATATGTTATCATTTTAACTGTTTGATATTTATAAAAATAAATATAATAAATAACTATAATGTATAATAATTTCACATTTCTGATGGTTAACATTTTAAAGAAAGGGTCCACAGGTATGACACAGCAGCCCTGTATTTTGTGTATTGTTGCAACAAAATCTCTGCATGCTAATATATATTCATTGTAACACTTTACAATAAGGTTCATTAGTTAACATTAGTAAAAGCATTAACTAACATGAACTAACGATGAGCAATGCATTAGTGACATTGTTTATTAATTTTTTTCAATGTTAGTTAATACAAATAGAGCTGTTCATTGTGCGTTCATGTTAGTTCACAGTGCATTAACTAATGTTAACTAATACAACCTTTGATTTTAATAACGTATTAGTACATTTTGGAATTAATATTAAAGGGTTAGTTCACCCAAAAATGAAAATTCTGTCAGTATTTACTCACCCTCATGTTGTTCCAACCCTCTATGTTTTTATTTGTTCTGCTGAGCACAAAGGAAGATATTTGGAAGAATGTTTTAATCAAACAGATCTCATTCCCCATTGACTACCATAGTATGTTTTCCTACTATGGTAGTCAATGGGGAATGAGATCTGTTTGATTAAAACATTCTTCCAAATATATTCCTTTGTGCTCAGCAGAACAAATAAAAACATAGAGGGTTGAAACAGCATGAGGGTGAGTAAATACTGACTGAATTTTAATTTTTGGGTGAACTAACCCTTTAACTAAGATTAATAAATGCTGAAGAAGTATTGTTCATTCTTAGTACATATTAACTAATGTAGTTAACTAATGAACCTTATTGTAAAGTGTTACCATATTCATTTTAAAACAACAATATCTATAGAACAGCCTCCAACTACACTGTTCAACTGACACTTCCCTCTGTCCTGCAGGTGAGTACTGTAACCTCCCCCTATACATGAAGACGGACCCTTTCTTCCGGAAACAAGCAGAGCTACACGACCCTTGCCCTGTGGTCCCACCCCGCGAGGCCTCCATCCGGAGCCTCGCCGCCCGGGCCTACCACACACAGGGCCGCCACATGACATTAGACCCCTCCAAGCAGCAGGCCCTGACGCTGGGCCACGGTGGCCTGAGCAGCCTGACCAGCTCGGGGGCCTCTGGTACGTCGGGCCCAGCCTCAAGCGGGGCCGCTGGGAGCTCCAGCATCAGCTCAGGCACGGCCACCCTGCCCCAGAGGACTCTCACCATGCCCAGCACCTCCTCCACCTCCTCGGCCCCCAGCGGGGCGGTCGCCGCTGGAGCGGGAGCCAGTGCAAGCTCCACGGGAGGCAGCGGCCTAACACCCGGCAGCTCCAAGGTCGGGGGATCCAGAGACTCTCTGCTAGAGAGCAGCTCGTCCGGCTTGGGAAGACTGCAAAAGCAGAATGCTGGGGCGTACTCCAAATCCTACACTCTGGTGTAGCTCACGTGTACACACATACAGTACGTTCACACACACACACACACACCTGGAGTCTGGGCAGGGGCGGAAACGAACAATGGCGGGACAGGGGTCTCTCTCTTTTCCTCTCTTATTTGCTTTGTTTGTTTGTTTTTTATTCTTCCGCTTTTTATCTGGCCTTCTCCAGGATTAAATATGCCAACCCCCCGGACCCTTTCCCCTAATTTTGCCTTCTTTTTGTTTTCAGTTGTATCCTCCTCTCACCTTCCCCACCTACCCCCACTCCCCCTCTCTGTCAAAGACACCTTGGACCTTATGCACGAAATGCTTTCCATGTGCACTTGTTCATTTGATTTGTCGACTTCAGAAAATAGGAAAAAGAGGTTTTAAGAGATGTATCGTTTCGCATTGATCCGTCTAGATGTTTTTAGGCTGTTGAAAAAGTGTCTCTTTTTTATGTCTCTCGCATAGCTTCATACTGCAACGCATTGCCTCGGAAAGCTTATGCATAAACGAATCCACCGCGGTGTTCACCTTCCGCCCCTCCTGATCCACATCGGTCTGGAAAAACAGCTCGAGGACGAAAGTCTCAAACCGCCTGAATCGAGTTTTTTGGGATTTTTTTTTCATGCAATTGATGACACAGTATAGAGTGTTATTGACTATTTTGTAAACAAACAAGAAAAAAAATCAAGAAAAAAAAATGTCTGGAGCCATTTTCACAGCGGATGTATGGTTACTGTACTTTTATGTTGATTTTTTTTGTCCGTTTTCTATTTTTCGATATTTTGAACTTTAGCACTAAGGAGGGCCGGGTGGATCCACTGAGCTTTCTCAAGCTTGTGTATGTGTGGTGTGTGTGTGTGTGTGCATGTGTATGTATATGTGTAAATATATATGTATACATGTGGCAAGCACACACCTTTGAGGGACCTCTCGGCATCGGAAAGGGATCGGCTTGGAGACGCCAAGTGCCACCCATTGAGCTTACACGGTCTAGAGTTGGTCTGAAAGTGGGACAGTAGACGCATCTCCCTTCTCGTCAAGAAAGGCTCTTGTTTTGCTGTTTGTTGGTTGGTTGGTTCGTTCGTTTGTTCGATTGTTTGTGTTTGATGCCATATACTTATCACCCCTCCTTCCCCTCCCACAGAAACATGACCACTTTCTCTGTCTCACTGTGAACGCCTAAACGCCTCTCCTGGATGGGCCGAGCGCAGGCAGAAAGGCGGGAAGAGAGCAGAGAGGTAGGGAGGAAGTAGAGGCAGACGGGCGGGTGAACAGAGAAGGAGAGAAATCTGCCGTCGCTGTGTAGCTTTTCTGCGTTTGTTCATCGTTTCTCTTTATTCTTTGCTTTCCTTCCCCACACGAAGACTCTAGCGGTCATTCCTATTTGAAGGTCTTAGAGACTCTAGCTTTAGGTAGCGCAGGGGTGGATAAAGGAGAGAATGAGTGAAATGTAGGAGGTGAAGGTTTCATTCAGCCCCTAAATGAATCGAATATCCTCTCAATCCTCCTTCGTTCACTCAGTTTCCAAAGCAAAGCCCCATCACAGAGAAACTTCCAAAAATCGACAAACTCTCCCAATGATTTCAATGGAAAAAAAAAAAAGGTACTACATCAGGGCTCCTGCAATACAAAAGAAGAAAAAAAAAAGAAAATATATTGCAATGTTTGTTGTCAAAATATATACATATATATTTCTATCTAAAGATATAGTAAATATATACGTGGTGAGAGCAGAGATTTAATGCCATATCTAATTGAAAAAGAAAAATTTTATTTTAAAAAAAGATTTGAAGACAATCGCTCAGTGGGAGGTGCAGCAGTAAGCGAGAGGAGGTGTCGATCACGAAACGCTGAGACAAACGGGTAACATAACTAAGAGAGATTGAGGGTATGTTTCGACATGCCGCAGCAGTCGCCGTGTAGGGAATTCTGGGGAAAAGACCTTTGAGATTCCCAAACTAACTTCCTGTCATCGTGATAATCAGCCGGGCTGCATAATGCAACATGCCTGTATGCTATAAAGGAGATATTTATGGACATTTCCCAACGCACTCTCTACAGTTGCTTGGAAACAATGGAAATTTGCCACTGCAACTCCAGCACGTACTGTAGATGGACCCACGACATCTGTGAGCGCCATCTGAGTCCATGCGCCATCTCTACTGCCCAACGAATAGTATTAAATACCCACAGTGCTTTGAGAGCTTTCCGTCAGGCCCTTGAAGAGACAGTTCACCCAAAAAATGAAAATTCGGTCATCACTCGCATTACTCGCTCTCTGTCGTTCCGAATCGTATGACGTTATTTTGAAGTGTTTGATTTTTCTTCCATAAAATGAAAGTAGGGGTGATGCAATAAACTTCCAGGCAGCAACATAGTGTCGGTCAGGCCAGATCCGGGCCACATCTGGATTTAACATATACCAGATGTGGGCCGGATCTGGGCCGACACTTATGTTGCTGTCTGGGCTGGTATTGACGATAACCAAAATATTGATATCGTGTTAATACTATAATAATCCAATGCCTGGTTGACACTCCAACTCAGTAGATTCAATAGAAACATTAACATTATTTTTACATTTTTATTTTTTTTTTAACCAGGAAAAATCCCATTGAGATTACTAATCTCTTTTTCAAGGGAGTCCTGGCCAAGACAGTGGCACAGATCACAACAATTCAGTACATTACAGACAATTTTATAACAATTTCATAAGACTATTTAAAAACATTCACAAACCATAGATTTCATTTCCAAACCTTTGAGCAAGAGTTTAAATTGGCCTATTGAAACCGGTTCCTTTAATTTCCAGAAATTTTATAAATTGTTCCATGTTGTGGGGGCAGAATAGTGAAATGCCACCTTACCAGCTTCTGTGCGGACACTTGGTACAGACAGTAGCAATACAGTCCAGCCCCTTTTGGTTGAATATATTCACACAAAAATTCTATAGGTAAATTCTGCATCTATACATAAATTCTATAGGTATTGCAGTAATATGGTTTTTTAACGAAAATAATTGTGTAGTGAAAATCTGGTATTGTGACAGGTCTAAATGAACTCAATTTGATCCCCATTGACATTCATTGAATAGGCAAAAATACATGTGACAAAATATCTACTTTCATGTTGCAAAGAAGAAAAGAACGTCATAAAAGTTAAGAATGACATGGGATAATAAATTATTAAGAATTCTCATTTCTGGGTGAACCGTTCATTTAAGGTGAGATCGCTCCTGTGATTTAAAAAAAAAAAAAAATCAAGCTTTCATCTTATATATCAGGGGAAAGATCACTACATTTACCATTAGCCCCTGCAGCCCAGCACAGGAAACAGCACACATTTATAGTTTGCTCAAGGATTCAGTTTTATGCAGCCGCCTGAGCATGTCTCATGTTAGGAAGACTTGACGTAACAAATCCTAAGGGACAGAATAGGGACGTGTCGTGTTGGGTTTAAAATTGAGCTGATTGAACGATGATATGTCTGTTTGTGGCATATGGAGAAAAAAAAGTCTGACTTACAAGGAGATGTTTTATTGGTGGCTTGATAAATTGTGTAAGATAAATAAATTTGATCGCCCAGATCTAAACCAATCTTGAGACAGAGTTGCGAAGAATGTGGACTTGTTTCAAAAACAATGAAAGAAGTGTGTTCCTCTTATTGCTGCTCAAATGCCCACTGACTGGGTTTTGTCCGTCTGTCTGTTTGATGGCAGACGCGCCCAGTGCATTTTGCCATGAACGTTTCATTAGGATTAGACCAATATCTATATCAGTATTCATGCCTGTTCAGGTGAAACATTTTGTGAAAATATTCCCTTGACCACCCCAGAAAGCCCTTACATCCCATAATATTTCACATTTAAAAGAAAGTTGCTGACTTGAAATGAATTAGATTTTTTTTTTTTTTTTTTGCTTTATTTATAAAAAATATATGTATCCAACTGAGTTATTTGTTTGATTCTAAGATGATTTATGTTGAAAAGAAAATGCAGTTGTGTTGCGCAACGGGGCAGGCCTGTTTAGCCAGTTGAATCAGGGACCCCCAAGCTCCAACCAATCACAGGAGAAGCTGTGTGAATACTGGGCGGAGTCAGGAATAGAACTCCACCCCCACAGCCTGTTTCCCCGCCCAAATGATCCGATTAGCCCCTTTTCATCAACTAATAAAAAAAAAATCCTGCTATACCCAAGAACTCCCTGTCAGCATAATTTCTAATCTACAAATAAAGACTCTTGTATATATGAAACTGTTTTGTATAAATAATTACTATTTTCGACATCTCCATTAGCAACCAGGGCACAATTGTAAGTCTGGTTAAAGGTATACCTTTAAATGTGAGGGGATTAAAAAGACAAAAAAAGCATAAAATCTAACAAAAAGTACTTTACATCTTGAGTTTTGAATGGGGCACATAAACCCAGACCAGACGTCTGGTGTTTGATTTATCTTTTCCTTTTTTTATAATTTGTCTTATGTTTTTATTCATTTATGTTGTTGGTTGTTTTGTTTGTTTTTACTTTTGTTTTGTTTCGACCTTTTGGTTAACTTGACGAAAAATGGCATTGCATGCTCTGAATATTTTGCTGGTTATTAAAAGAAAAAGGAAAAGGAGACAAATAACTAAAAGGGAAAAAAGTTTAAAAAATGCGGAGGGGATTCGTAAACTTTTATGGAAAAGTTGCTTCAATTTGCAATTGCTTGTGTTTAAATATACAGTTTTTTTTTCTATGAAAACAAAACAAAAACAGAAAAAGAGTACTCCAACACCTTGTGCAATAAAGCTATCTTTCTATGAATGGTGCCTTGACCCTTGTGTGATTTTTAAAATATATATATATATATCTGTGATTCTTGAGATAAGGGACATGTTTTAGATCACCTTCATAACATAATTTGTGTGAACTCAGCCAGGGGGATTAAAGCAAACTATTTTAATTGGATTCATCAAACAGTGCACTCTAAAAAAAAATGCTGGGTTGTTTCAACCCAAATTTGGGTCAAATATGGACAAACCCAAATGCTGGGTTAAAACTGTAATTAAAAAATATACAGTTGAAAGTGAAAGTTGAAGTTGGGTTCAAATTTAAAATTAAATGTTTAACACAACATTTTTTGTTTGTCCATATTTGACCCAAATTTAGGTTAAAACAACCCAGCATTGTTTAGAGTGTGTAAATTCGTCAATTATGTAATAATGGTGTTCGGTAAAAATGCTATTTAAAGAAAGAAAGTGATTAAATACATTCTCTACATTTTTTTTTTGTTTATTTCTTTTAATTCACAATTTCACCCATATTACACACACAACACATGAACACAATAACAGAAAACACCAATAAGAATAGGTTACCACTAAGTAAATCACAGCCCATTCTCACCCCCAAGGCGTCACTTAACTGACGCCTTGGGAAGCATTTGGACATGCTTTAATATCTGACGCTTTAGGCGCCCTTTAGCGTCAGTAAGATGACGCCCTAGGATCGCATGTACCCTACCCCCACCCCACACCTAAACCTAACCGCGTCCTCTAACAGACGCTTTCCTTTAGCGTCAGTTAGATGACGCCGTAGGATCGCGTCATGTAAGTGACGCTAAAGGGCGCCTAAAACGTCAAATATTGAAGCATGGTCAAAGGTGACGCCTTGGGGTGAGAATGCGTTGCAAATCAACAATACAAACAAAAACAACAAAAAACAATCTACACAGTCTGTGGGTTATCCATTATTCCATATAAGTTGATAATTATATAGTCTTTATATAGTTTAACTAAGGCCCATGTGGTTTGCAACTCTTCAAGTCTTGAATGCTGTTTACTTGTAATTTCCTCAATGGGCAACAATTCTTTCATCTGATCCAGCCATTGACCCAGTGTGGGTCCTGACTGGGAAATCCAAGCAGTAAGTATGCAGTTTTTGTGCAAAATAAGAATTCTGTATAATATTACAAATTGTTCTGATGTAGTTTTTTTAATCCCTCAGCTACATGAAGATATCGTCACAGTGACTTTTAGAACGTCGCCTGTGTTATTAAAGCCATTCAACTGTTTACACTTTACTGAGTTTGTAGCTGCTTTAGTGTGATTGATACACAACAGCGATTCATCATGGGACACAGAAGTTCACGAGTTCATCCATTCTTCACGGATAGCGAGCAGGTTCACGGCCTCCATCACCGTGACCGCGAACCCTCAAACCCCAGCAGCACAGCGGGAAAACATCTTCTTCATTGGCCTGACAGAGAGGGAGACCAGCTTCCCATCTCTCTTCTGAAGAGGAAGAAAAAGAAAGTGGGCTTCTCTCTCTTTCAAAAGGAAGAAAGAATCCCCGGAAAACAAGAGCTCAGATCAGGGTGAGATGATGAAAGATCAAGAGACGGAGAAGTATAAAGCCTTTTCTAATGAAGTTTTGCATTAGAATTGTACTTGAGGTAATAAACAAATCACCTTCTGTCAATTCAGGTTTGTGCCAGGTGTTCATATTGATCCACACAGCATTCTGAACAAGAGGATCCCCAGAGACCAGACCGTCGCCGGCTTTCCATGAAACTCGCCCTTCAATCTGTACTCGGGAGGGCAGTAACTGTGCCTGGAGGAAAGAGGTTTTGTCCGATGTGTAAGTCTCTAACATAGCATGTCTTCTCAGCATCCATTAGCATGCGAGTGTTGAGTTTACTGATTCACAAGAGTTTTGAGAACTAATACACATCTCGTGTAGGCAGATTCTGTCAGGAGATCGTCGCATCCAAAGTCAATGAGTTTGACATCGAGTTTCTTGACGTTTATTAGCAGGTTGTCTAATTTGTCTTCTGTTAAAACATGAAGAGAAGACAACGATGTTTAGTGGTGCTTTGCAGATATTGTGAGATCATTGTTGGGGACTGTGGCAGGAAACTCACCCTCAGGTCTCATGTTCACTTGGTTACGGTCCAGCTGTGTCGTTTCACCTGCTGTCAGAAAGACTGGAGCGTCATGGACTTGAGATTGAAGCTCTTCTTGCACCAGAGGTTCAGCCTACAGTGGGACAGACTTCAGGATCATCGACAGGAGGTTCCTCGACATCAATGACCTGTACAGATCTAGAGATGAACGGTAGAGACTTTTGATCTAAAGAGGAGAATGTCAGCACAAGAAGTTAGCTAGCAGTCCATTAACTGGTAAAAGAAAATACTGATTATTGGGAACAGCAATTCTTTGATATTAAAGTGGTTGATTTTTAAAGTGCAAAATACAATATTACAAATTTGTACACTTTTGAGGTGTCTTCATTTATTATAGAGAGAAAGTTAAAATGTCTGTTTAAAACCATCCTATAGTGGGCAGACAAGTTCCCGTTACTCACGGTCACTCATTTATTTGTAAAATATGAAGTGACGTTTACATGTAGTAGGACATTTAATATAGCCTCTAACATGTTTGTCATTTACCGTCGGTATGGATAATGCAGGAATTTGTCCCGGGTGTCTGACCTGAAGATCTCACAGCTTAGAATAATGAAAGTAGAGCGGATGTAAAGTTTGTGGTAATAATCAGACGTTTCTCCATCTTTCCCACAGAATGCTGCGATTTGATCTGCTCTCTTCTGCACAAGCCAGAGCGTCGGCTTGATCTGGGCAGGATTGTTCAGCACAAATGGTTTTAGGTCCTGAGCCATGAGCCAAAAACTACTTAAGATGTATTTTGAAAATCTCATTGTTCTAAGTGTTATGAATTTAGCACCCTTATTTCTGTTTTTTGTTCCAGGTGTAAAACCGGTCACAGCCACTCCAGAAGAGTCATCTGTTCAGAAGATCTCTTTACGTCTGTCCTGGAGAGGGCTCTGATCTTGTTTATAGTGACAAAGTAAGTGGCCCGAACTCAGGGTATTCCCCCCAGGTTTAGGGAGTGACCTGGTGAGTGAGAGGAGACGGTGTGGTGGAGGGAAAAAGTTAAGAATGTCCCTCGCAAATATTAATGTAGCAAGACAAAATGGATCAGTGAAACATTAACCAATGCAAAATCTCTTCAGAAAGGTAAAACTACTGTTTTGTGTTAAAGGTGGAATGCCTATGATTTTTGCATTAAAATATCCTAAAATCACAAGGCCAGTGTTGTATTTAGTTAAGATGATAACTTACAATATTCCAAATGTTTCAAACAATGTTTAAATCGCGAGAAAAATGAGATTTTAACCAAGGAAACGTGTGAGCAGGGGTGAGCTGGGAGTCGCCAGTAAATCGCGTCATATCCGCGTTACATCGGTTTCCGCTTCACACTGAGGTTACTCAACATGTTTTATGGGCTATATGCACGCATAAGTTCCGCATTTGACACAAGGATGCATCTTCCATTTCCGGTTGTGGAGATTTAAGTGGAGGAGAACCGAGGAAAACGGGATTATGGCAGAGTCTTCAAAATTTACTGTCCTCCCGTCTTTGAAACGAAACGTACATACGTTTAGATGTAATTTTATATATAGTTATGTTTATTTAATATAATTTTGAAAAGAAGCATAAACACAACGAGGGGTGCCTGTTTTATCTGTTTTTGTGACTAACGTTTCTTTAGTATAACCATGGAGTATAAAATTCAATATAAATTCTCGGTATTGCATTGGACTCTACGATCGGCGGAAGTTATCGAGCATCCTTAATCCTTCGCCGGAAATACCGCCGTGCATAGAGCCCATTACAGGTTTTAAAAAAATGAATGAAATAATGTCTCTTCTGTATTAGAAAAACATATCTAGAAAAAAAAACCTCCAAATTGAACAAAAATAGCTCTCACAAACTTACAAAAATGTACACAAAATGTATTTTTCTTCCACTTTATCCTGTTTTGCTTCTTCATCCTCCTTGTTTGCCCATCTATCTATTTGCTGTAGAGTTTATCTTTCCCAGCAGTTTTTTGAAAACCACGATATTTTCATCACTTTATAAAAAACAGCCAGGACTGGAAAAACAAGACTGTTGGTCGCCCTACTTTAGGCATATATATATAAGTCTATATAAAGTTGGTAATGTCTAATGTTATTAAATGTGCCCAGAGAATGCCTAATAAAACGGGCTTTGGTATAGATTTGTATCTTTTTTTTTTTATTTAGAAAATGACCAATCCTTTCGCTAGAAATTGGCCCTATTTCTCAGCTGGGATCGTGCCCTTTGACGTTCTTCAAAGCCTTTTAAATCTGAATTGATTTGGATTTAGACAAGTTGGTTACCGTTGAAGTCCATAATTGTGTGGAGAAATATCCTGAAATGTTTTCTTGAAAACTTTTTTTTCTTTTACACTGCGAAAGAAAGACATGAACATCTTGGATGGCATTGGAGTAAGTACTGTAAATTATCAGGAAATTTTCATTTTGAAGCGATCGTCACGAAGGTATATCTTGATATTCTGATAAAAAACAGGCACAATTACGAGATGTAAATTCAGTCAAACAAGTCCAAATTGGGAGATATAAAATTGCAATTAGGATAAAAAGTTGCAATTAGGCCTACCTTCTTTATTTTATTACGTTTAATCGCGCATGATGTGAGTGCATTTAAAAAGTACTGGTGTTTATTGAAGATTGACATTCTACTACTACTGTCTATACTATACATATTTTTAATATATTCATTGTTCATATTCAGATAGGCACTATTTCTTGTTTCTTTTGTTTTCTCTAATGTGGAGCATGAATTATTAGCCTACTCGTTTCCCACTGGCACTAACTCACCAGCAGAGGGAAGAATGACTGCATCTTGGAGGCTTGTAAAATGTTTATTGAATGTGATTGTTTGTTGCCATGGCAGTTTATAAAAATCACTGGTACATCATCTGTTAAAGTACACATTGCTCTCAGCAGACTTTCAAATGGCAGATTTTCACATTGCTCCCCACCTAGGCACATTGAACTATATCACCACATAATGTAACATTGAAATGTTACACAATGTAGATTAACCTAAAATGATTAGGAATAAACTTAAATGTTTGTGTGCATTTATTTAGCTAGAATGAGCAAAATTTGAGGAAAACCCCATGTTGGGTACCAGAACAGGTTGGGGAGTTATTGAAAACATGTAATGGTGTTGTAGTTCTGGTGGTTCTGTTGGCAGTCATGACTCACGTGAGCCACCTATTGGTGCATGCGCAAACAACACCCGTCTCCCATCATTCTCCTTGGACACAGGTTGAGACACAGCTAGGTCTTTCATTAGGTATGACAAATCTTTCCAACAGATTTAACTGCAATACTTGACAGTTACACTTTGCTGTAGGCTAATTTTGAAGCTTACAATATTTTTTTAAGCTTTATATAATGTTAACAATTCAGTGCGTCTGTTCTTATTACAGGTATTTGCTTGAAGAAAAGCGCATTTGCATTCTGTTGCCAAAAAAAACTCTGTTGTGTACAAATTCTGTTTTCATATAAGCAGAGAATAGTTACAGCATAGTTACAACTACATGGCAATTTCTTAAATATTTTATATTTTGCATCAAAATGAAAGTATTTTGATGACATTGCTTTTTACTTGAATTTATTTACATATGTGACCTTGAAGGAATCCAAGAGTAATCAGATTACATTACTTTCATATTGTGGTGTTGAATTACGTTACTGAATACTTTTTTATTAAGTAATTTGTAACTGTAACAGAATTCATTTTTAACCTTTTAACATTTTTATACAAATTTAAAAAATGGATGGATAAGTAAACATGCAGCTTCCTGTGATATTCTATATATTATTGTGCATGTAATCTGCATGTGTTTATGCATTTATCTTAAAGATCTGGGAGTGTTTGTGGCATCTTTTATCAGCAAATGGTCTGAATTTGAAATATTTGTCCTTGTCTGAATGTTTGTGTTTGTGCAGGTATCTGTACATCAGAATACGTGACTGTCGCTCACAGAAGTCGTCTTTTAACATGGATGCAGAGCAGTTTTGCGTGTGCACAGTTGCTGGGGTTATAAGGTTATACTGGGTCTTCTTGATCAGCATGGAATGGACCCTGCTGACAGTTTAGCTCTTGGCATTTCATTTGTGGTCTTTCTGCTTCTTCTGCTGGTACTTCCTGTACTGGTTCTGAATTGTAGACGCCGCCTTGTCGGCAGAGGCTCCGTTGTGTCCATTACTGGACGAAGAGTCTAAAAAAACATGGAAGAGAATTGTTCAAATTGAACATATTGTGATATTCGATTTATATATATGTATGTATGTATATATATATATATATATATATATATATATATATATGTGTGTGTGTGTGTGTGTGTGTATAATGTATTTGTACAATTGTTTTAAGGTAATACTTACGCTTTCTGTAAACTCCTATGCTGTTCCTTCTCTGGCCCCCAAACTGCAAAGCAAATAACACACACACACACAAAGCTGAATTATTTTATTATTATTATTATTATTGTTAAAATATGTAATATTTTATAACAAAATAAATGTTAATATCTTTTTCTATGTCTTTTAATATGCATCAACAACTATAAATTGGCCACTGTAGTAGGTTCAGTTACTGAAAAAACATTGTTTTGTTTATTTAATCATCCTGTCCAGCCTGGCATAGCAACAGTGTTTCAACCAATGTTGGGAGTTTTTGGGTTGGACGATGAGGAGAATGTTTGGGTTTGAAACCTGTTGTAGCTTCTTTTGGTGCAGGTTATAGAGTGCATTAGTGCCGAAACACTTTTTCTGTGGCGTTAGTTCCAGAAGTGTTTTTACATTTATTTTTCTGATTTTTAAAACGTATGGTTCCCTATAGAAATCTTTTTGTGCGATTTGCTGCTTGTGACTCTGCTTGTGACTTGTGGAATTTTCTGTACAAAATCATGGCAATCATGGTAATGTGGTTTTCACCATAAGTTAGGCTGTTGAACACAATTATTTTTTTTTAAACAAGTTGAAATGGATGGCTTCAACAGAAGCATTTAAGTTGTCCAAGTTTGAGATTTGTGGTTATTGTCAGTCTCCTGACTAACCGTCATTAACATCAAGCTGCATATTTGAAAACATGCAAAATTGTGCAAGGGGAATGATTTCACTGCAAAATTATTTAAGTTTCAGTCGTTTGCTCACATTAGCTATCATGACTTCAGAAGACTTGGGATGTAGTGTCATTTGGGGCAATCGTATTGTTTGTTTGTTTTTTTTTTTGTTTTGTTTTTTTTGTAAGTCCAATTCTCACTATTAACTAGTTGCTTATTAGCATCCATTTTACTAGGATATTTGCATAAGATAGATTCTGCATGACTATATTATACATCCCTTAATCCTACCCAATACCTAAACTGCCTTGTTAACTATTAATAAGCAGTGATTTGTAATTTATTGAGGCAAAAGTCGTAGTTAATTAGTTAATTGGACCATAATCTAACATGTGACCAAACATGTCACTGTACGAAAAGAGAAGCTAGGGCCTGAATTTTAATTTTGGGTGAACTATTCCTTTTTGGAAATAGGCTCATTTTACCACTCCCCCAGAGTTAAACAATTGAATTTTACTGTTTTCGAATGTATTCAGTCGATTTTTTTGATATTTAGAAGAATATCAGTAACCAGACAGTTTCTGGTCTCATTGACTTCCATAGTATATTTTTTTCCTACTATGGAAGTCAATGAGACCAGAAACTGTCTGGTTACTGATATTCTTCTAAATATCAGAAAATCGGCTGAATGGATTTGAAAAGGGTAAAACTCAACTGTTTAACTCTGGTGGAGTGGTCAAATGAGCCTATTTCCAAAAAAAGTGGAGTATCCCTTTAACAAGATTCAGAAATTTGCACCATCTCAAAAATGCTTTTACTCTTTGCATTTACATCACTACTTTGAGGTCTTCAGAAGTGTCAGTGCATCCCTTTGTCCTTGAACATACAAAAGCATCAGCCGTGACAGTCTTATCACCGTGTCGCCTCTCTGTATTTCGTGCTGGAATGTGCGAGACATGGTGGCCCAGACAGATCCCGCAGGTGTGAGACGGGACGTTCCACACATCGTGCCCCTGCCGCGGGTGACTGTGCGACTCTATGTGATCACGCCGTTTTGTCATGTCACGGTCCTTATGGCCGCTCTACTCTGTGGACCCACAATTATTTTCACTAAAATGTACAATGACTATTTTCAGGAAAAATTCAGAGTGCATTTCTTGGCTGCTTCTAATTGGCTGATTCCCTTCAAAGGCACAGCATGACCCATAACCTTTTGGTGAGGCACTGTGTAGCCCCTACAGAACAAACACTACATTTAAGTTTCTCGTACTGGAGACCAAGTAGTGTATCTGAAGTCACATTGGATGACATCTGGTAATGGCAAACATTAATATCTATTTCAGTCAACATGTTAGAGTACAAAACCCTTAATGGGCCAATTTCCTTTCAAAGGCACTGCATGACCCGTATTTTACCTTTTGGTTAGGGACTATGTGACCCTATTTAAATGGAAAATCTGAACTCTTATTGGGAGTGGGGACCAAATCATATCGGACGGCATCTGGTTCAGGTGAACATATTTCGGCTGAAATGCTAAAGTACAAACCCCAGATGAGCATTAGACCCAGCGGACTGAAGAGCTTGAAGGCAAAGAAAGTGCACTGATATCATCACTTGAGTAAATTATTAAATGAAAATGAGCCCGATTTGACCATTTTGACATGCCAAAAGGAAAGTGGCTTTGCTCTCTAAGTAAGGACTTGTACAGGGGATTGTCCTCGTAATGAGTATTCTGTGATGTGCTTTGGATAAAATGACTAACTTTATGTATAATTCAAAAAAGTTAAGGATCCAAATGAAGATTTGTTTATTATTAGTGAAATATTAATGTATGTACACTGTAGAAAATAATATGATCAGTAAGTTACAACATTTTTTTTTTCATTTTATGTTATGCAAGATTCAACTCGGGTTTTTTTAAGTAATTGAAGTCAATAGGATTTAATTGTACTCAAAAATGTAAGTTATAGTTTAATAATTAACCATTGGTTTGCAAATGTATTTGGCAGCGTTTGTTGAAGCAGAACCTCAGGGTTTCTAGAGGCATACTGTATTAAGACACAAATCCTTCTCCATTGGATTACAGGCACCTGAGGGATGCCCAAGCTTTTCTGAGGTTAGCTGAGAGAGAGAGTGTGTGTGTGACAGCCTTGGACGACACCTATAAAGTCTGACAATCACTGGAATTAAGATTAAGTCATATTGCGCAACTTCAGTAGAAAGATACAACAACAGCAGCTAGAAATGTGAGATTAAGTTGGAAAGTATAAGAAAGAAACCTAAAAATGAGACCAAAGCATTGAACAAGGGCCACATTAAAATCCTCATCTCTTTGTCCACCCACCAGCATTGCCCTCTTTCACCTTCGCTCTTTCAAAAAGATCTTTTTGAAGCACAGTGCAACTTTTATGATGAATCTCATTCTCATGAAGATAAATGTCACCTCGAAATCATAAAGAAATATTTTCCGTAAAGAATTTATATCACTATTTTCATGATGATGATTATTATTTTCTTTTTTTTACCATGTAATATGGTTTTCGCAAAACTTTTGAATATTTTCTAAATTCTTAGGCAAGGCAAGTTTATTTATAAAGCACATTTCATACACAATGGTAATTCAAAGTGCTTTACATAGAATAAATTAAAATAATCAAAAGAAATCAGAGTAATTAATACAGTTTAGAATAAAAAAAAATATTATCTAAAAAATTATTCTCATAAAGATTGCTTTTTCAAAAGTAGCATAAATTTATTCAAATAAATTTAGTACACAAATATTACCATAATGTATTAATACTTAAAGGATACTCCACTCTTTTTGGAAATAGGCTCATTTTACAACTCCCCCGGAGTTTACCGTTTTCAAATCCATTCAGCCGATTTTATGATATTTAGAAGAATATTAGTAACCAGACAGTTTCTGCTCCCATTGACTTCCATAGTATATGTTACTGATATTCTTCTAAATAGGCTATCACAAAATCGGCTGAATGGATTCGTAAATGGTAAAACTGTTTTACTCTGAGGGAGTTGTAAAATGAGCCTATTTCCAAAAAAAAAAAAAAAAGTGGAGTATCCCTTTAAATAAAAAAAAAATTTATTTGCACTAACGAGACTGAATTTTAAAAAAAAAAAATTTCACATTACAATAATGATCATTTGCGGCATGTGCGCTTAAACGAGACGCCCTTGATTATCACAGGCTCCATTTTCATTATGCAAACTAAATATTTCTTATGTTTTTCTTTTGATTAGGAGGTGAAATATGAGTTGTTTATTCTTGGTGAGATGCATCGTAAAAAAAAAAAAACATTGGTGTTTTTTGGAGGGGGTTGTGTAATATATGAAGAGTTCAGATGCAAAAGCCTCTAAATGCCATTTGAAATTTTCTTCTTTAATGATGATTTTTATCAAACTTGTATATTTAAGTTCAGTAATTTCACTTAAATAACAATTATTGGTAATTATCATTGCCATTTAAGTGAAATCACTGAACTTAAATATACAAGCTTGATAAAAATGATCATTCTAGAAGAAAATTTCAAATGGCACTTAGAGGCTTTTGCATCTGAACTCTTCATATGTAATAGTTCAGATATAGTCGGGTATTTCACCTCTTCTGTACGGCTTCCTCTCCGAGATTGGGAGACGTTGTGGATCTGCCATGGCAAGGGCTGAGAAACCATATACGGGAGAGGCTCCTGCTCACGTACCCACCGAACACCCAGCTGAAACAGACACAGCAGGATCAGTGTGTGTGTTGCACCATCTACAGTATGTTGTTGACGTCATTTGATTTGACTTATTATGTGTCATGATCCTGCATGCTAAACTGTCATTAGATAAAACCATCTTGTCCCCTGTGAATTAAATCATCTTTTGTGGAATAAGCCGACGTCGTGTCAAAACGTAAGTGATTTAGTTCCTCCTGTCTCAAGAGTATTATGGCCCTGAATTGCACCTTAAAATCTTTATTACTGAGATTGGAAGATGTTTTATTTTCAAACAGATGACAGGTGAATTTAAAGACTTTTCATATTTAAGGGTGTTTTATCAACTATAGGCACTTTTGTGTCCTGGCCAGTGGTTGATTTTTATTTAAACTATCAGTTGAAACCATTTTTCCATTTACCATTTACTGTACATATACATACTAAACTAGTGAGAGTGTTTTAAGAGTTTATTTCCCCAAAGTCTACAGGGGCCGAAAATGCCCATAGTTGAAACACCCACCAATATATATCCATAAAATGTTGAAACATGAATTCTCCCTTTGTCCATATGTTATAAAACACTTTGAAGTGCATGAGTACTCTCTCATTTTCACGTGGTCATCGAGAAAATGTGTTTAAATCTTATTGTGGCATTGTCCTTTTCATCTAATTTGTCCATCTAACATTTTTGTCATAGTTCATTCATCTGGCATTTGAAACAATGATAAGAATCTCAGTCAACTGGCTGGTATGTTGAAGATTGGCGACAAACGCATGGAGATGGTAATCTAATGAGTTGCCTTACCTGTTCACCCGCTTTCACCAACATGTACAGGGCTGTTAGCATTGTCACCAGCATTTTGAAAGCCTGTTTCTTTGTGTTTTTTTCTTCAGGTATAGCCCTGGGCCAGAGCACGTCAACCGTGGTGATACTCGGAAAAGTCAAGGATCTAGAGCTGCATCTTTCTGTTCAGCCAGACACGCTCACACAGCTAAGTCATTTAAAGAGCTTTGCGTTACCGAAATAGGAGGCATGTAATCTTTTCCCATGCGCACATGAGCGTTTATCCCTCTGGGTAGAGCTTTAACCTCATCCTGAGCCAGACATTACACTTTAACTTCAATACCTGGACCTGACTTAAGAACATAGCAACCACTGCAAAGTGCTAAAAGCTAAGAATTATAATTTTTCCTTTAGGGGCCTCTGTAAAAACCATACATTTTTCATTAAATCAGGACAGGTCATTAAAACATTACTTTTTCACATCAGAAATCACAATTTAAACGAGTCTATCTGTAAAGCAGATGCTCATCGAAGTGCATGCAGGTTGAGAATCTCTTCTCGACTAATCAATATTTAATCAGTCAGTAAGGTATGATCCCACTAATGAAGTCATTCCTGCATGGAAGCCAGTAATGTTTACAACCGCAGCTGCTCAATCCTAATCTATACACTATAAATGCTTTAAAAAATGCCAACAGCAAAATTAATAATGGACTAATTTGTTACATTTAATTGTTTTTTATTGATTTTTGAAAAAAAAAATATATATATATAGGCCTATATATCTTTTGCCCACCAAGCCTTCATTTCTTTGATCCAAGAAAAAACTGTAATATTGTGACTATATTATTATTATTATTATTATTTTAACAACTATTTTCTATTTTAATATATTTTAAGATGCAATTTAAAAGTTTTTGGTAAAAAATAAATAATAAAGTGAAATGCTTTATTGTGTGTGATTTGCATGTTTAATTTATTTTAAGACATGTAAGCTGAAGATCTAAAATAAGTTAAAATGGTTGGTTCAACTGATTTAATTGTCTTATTTTTATATATAAATGAGCTTAAATGTTAAGTTAGCAGAACTAAGATTTGTTTTGATCTCACATGGCCTGCACTGTGTTGGATTTACTTAAAAGATATATGCACCATTTTTGCGTCATACTTTTTAAGTAATCCGTAATCATTTAATTAAGTAAATTTTTAACTTGGAATAATTTTACATAAAATAAACTTAAATATTTTAGTTCACGTGACATTCTTTACTTAAAAATATATGTAACGTGATGCATACATTTTTAAGTAAAGAATGTTGCGTGAACTCAAATAATTAAGTACATATAACAAAGATTTTCTTGTTAATTTTAAGTAAAATTATTCTAAGTTGGGATTACTTAAAAAGTATGATGCAAAAATTGTGCATATATATTTTAAGTAAATCCAACACATCATTTTTTAAAGTGTAATTAAATTACTTTTTTTTTTCTTTTGGTTCTTGACAATCTTTTGGGTTCCCAATTTTGCTAAGCTGATTTTGAGTTTCGTCAATGCGAGCAATTGTATTTAATGTGTAAGTCCATTAGAGTTCTAGTGTGTGTGCGTGCGTGCGCACATGTTTTATTGTCTGAAATATCAAAACAAGTGGCATCTGTAAATAATTAATTTCTGAGGATTTTGGACCGGTGCCATTTTTTATGAAAAGTTATACATGAAAAGATTTATGCATAAAAATAAATGCATTTATCTTTAAATTCCATGCCACTTGGTTTATATTTTGTTGCAACAATAATATATAGACGTGTTTTAAATCACACGACACATTGCCTAATACTGTGTAGAAAATTAGTTTGGATTATTTGGTACTTTTTCTGCGACATGGGAGTTGTTTTGATAAGGGAGTGTGAATGTGATCAAGAGCTGTAGCCTATGTGCGTAATGAACGAGGTGGGGAAAATTCCACAAAAGCAGACCATATCTCTCTCAGGTCTCATATAAGAGCTTAATGTTATGGTCATGGTGAAGTCAGTTTCATCTAATGCCAGCACAGCACGCATTAATGGAAGTATCAGGTTAGACAAACTGATTTTTTAAACGAGAAATTGCTTTCATTTTGCTTTGCTATTATAGTATAGATGTCAATTTGTACTTTACATTTGATTTTAACTGAATAGATTGTAACTGATGTGTTGGTATTTGTGGTTTTCGGATCTGGTTAATGAATTATTCACTAGTGACTGCCTGGATAATCCTTGCAAAGGCATTGGTTTTTATGAGAAATTATCTTTCCATCTGTGTGGCTTGTGATAAGCATACTTATGACTCTTGAAAGCAGGAAATAAGAAAGATGCATGTTAAGCAGTTGTTGTATGAATTTGCTGCAAAATACAGTCAAACTTTAGATTATGGTCCAATTCTCACTATTAAACAACTATTAAATAACTTTGACTTTTACATGTTTAAACTCCTAATTACATCTTATTAATAGTTAGGAAGGTAGTTGCTATGTTAAGGTTTGGGATGTTGAATATGGTCATGCGGAATATAAGTACAAATAAACAGTCAAAATGCATGCTAATAAGCTGTGAGAATTGGACCCTAAACTAAAGTGTTACCCAAAATACATATAGAATTAACAGTTACATAATAAAATGGTCAAATAAATCTCAACTAAGTGGTGTTGAAAACATAACACACTGATATATGCACAGTTAGATGTCTAACCGGTAATGTCCCAACACTGTCAGAAATGAATTAGCCCTGTATGATTACCATAATTTGGCAAAGTGTGAACAATTTTGTTGAATTGTTTTCCTCAGATGGATGCAGTTTAGAAAGGTCTGGATGTAATGTATCCTCCATCAAGGACATGGAAATCTAATTTGACCTTTTTTTAAGACTGGTAGGCACTTAATATAATATAAAATAAAAAAAATTACACTAAGATTAATGAAAAAGGTATATTTTTTTACCTTTGTTAAATGTTAAATGTATGTTTAATGTATGTTTGTTAAACTTTGTTAAATGTATGTTTTTACCTTTACCTTTGTTTCATCAGCATTGTTAGTTGACTAAATGTAATGTAGTCAATACTAAAACTTGCATTTTGAATTTGCATTGTGTATATATTGTGTAACTGTTTTTATTTCTTTTGGGGTTTTTTTGTTTTTTTGTCATAAGCGAAAATAACACTCTTAAATGTCAGTTTTAGCTGGCTGGTCAATCTGATCCTATTATAACTGACAACCAAATAAAAACTCTACAATGTCTTTACATCGGAGGATTGTCCCTGATCTGGGTCCTCTTACAACTGAGATAGGTGAGGATTATGCATCAAATTTCAGCATTAATAAACATGTTTTTGTCCAAAAATTGCTAAAATCATAGCTTTCAGTAATATTGCAATGTGATATTATTATAAGACTGACACAGTGAATTTTTTGTCATCCAATACATCTCTTCTCTATAGTGTCTGAAATTGACAGGGACAAGCGTATTTTACTGCATATGCTGGACCTGCACAGGGAAAAGGTGTCGCCTATGGATCTTACAACAATGCTATACGTAAGCACTCCAAGCACTGAAGACGACTTTCCACAGGACCCAACAGAGCTCTCAAATGCATTCCTCCGGCGGCTCTGGCTGCATAATCCCCAAGCCCGCAGCACTTGCTGCAAGGTAGCAGTAGGAGACTACGGTTTGGACATGGATGAGAATTCACAATGTGCCATCAATCCTTTAGACTTGGTTGCTGTCATCTACATGACAACAAATAGTTTCCTGCAGCATGAGATCACCTACCGAATGTTGCAATGCAACTTTGCAGTGCCTCTGTATCTTCCACCGGTTTACCCAGAAAAGAAGGGGACCATGCTCCTGTATCCATTTAGAGGTGTTCTAGGTCAGTGGAATTCACCTTCTGAGGGAACTATCATGAAGAACATGGCCAATTCCAGGATGCCATTTCTCTCCGCAGTGAGGCTAGGTCGCTGCAGTGTCTCAAAATCTCGAGTACTCAACCGTGTTCTTGGGGGTCCACACAAGCTGAATGAGTGCTTCATAAACTGTGGTATGGATGGAGGGCAGCTGCCTCGTGTTCTCTCAGATGGTCTGGTGGAGATGTGCTGGAACCTGCCTTTAGGAGATCATCATGACAATGTCTTCCCTTGTCCTGTGCTAGTAGCTAATCTCCGTGGAGATGGAGCCACCTGCAAAAAACAGATGAGTCTACTGTGTTATTCATCTGCAGTCCTCATCGTGTTTTGCGGAAGTTTTGGTGCCAAGGAACGAGAACTGCTTGCCTCATGGAGGGATAATACAAGCCACATGATTATAATCGACTGCTCAACGTCAGTAGAGGATGGCCAAGAGAATCATGAGAAAATTAAACAAAGGCTGTTGAAGGATTTAGAAATGTCTGATGGAACAATGCTTAATGGCTGTGAAGGTAATGAGGAAGAAATTGCTGAAAGCTTAAAAGATGTTCTTAACCGCTTTATTCCATACCTGCACATCACAAACCTTGTAGGTACAGCTGGTATGGCCAGTGACCTTGACTTTAATGTCGATGAAGATGAGATCTGTCGAATGGCATTCAGGGAAGTTGAAGAAGTCCTCAGTGGAATCGAAGACGAAGTGTCCAGCTATTTGGAGAACCAGCTGCCCCTGCAGGGTGTGGTATGGAAACAGTTGTGTCAGCTGGAGAAGGAGGAAGGACGTCACCAACCACATACAACACAGAGCTTAATCGGGGAGAAGGAAAATCTTATAAAACAACTGCTTGATTATAAATTAACAACAGCCATGGGAGCTTTTATTGCGGCTCTATGTTCACTTGACACAACCAAGCGAGCATTTTTCCTCTCTTGGATGAGGGTGAAACTTGAAGTTATGCAGTTGGATAAACTGTCCCATCTTAGGGGAACAAATAAGGAACAGATTCAAGAACCTTGCATTGGACTTGAACATTTCCTTCGAGAAATGGGATTGGTCTACGAACGATACTTCCGTGGTCCAAACAGTGACTTGTACGACATGTTCCGCTTACCATATGTCGGTGCTGAATTACTCTTGTATGGAGTTCCACTTGAGCTCTATGATGGGGATGCCTCAGTGTTTCCCATGAACTGGGTATACAGCGTTCTTTATGAGGTACACAAGCAGCTGCCAAAGTTTAGTCGCATGAGAGTTTTGACAATCTTAGGTTTCCACAAC